TTGATATTGGTATATTAATGAATAATTTAGAATTTTTTTAATTCATTTAATACATTTATTAAATAACATGTAAAATATCTAAACATTAAAATTAAAAATACAGTGTTTAATAAGAACTAGTAGATGTTATAATAAAATAATTTTGAAAGTACAATGATGTAATAAGAAAGTCACATCACTATAGTACATGTGGACAGCCTATGTAGACAATGAGGTGGCATGGAAACCTAGTATAAAGGTTACCTAATGCTATAATGGGTAAATTTTTCAAAGTACAACGTCCTAATAAAAAATAGTTTGAAAGTACATTGCTGTAATAAGAAAAACTGAAAGTACAATGCTATAATAAATAAATTTATGAAAGTAGATTGCTATTTTGTGCATTTTGCCCTATTAGAAAAAATATTTTATTCAAATTCATATTTGCTCAAATATATACCAGCGAGTTGAATTTGTTTACGATTAAATCTCATATGGATAAAGTTACCTATATTAATTTATCTAAACTGATATTTGGTTATTATGTTGAATAAACCGTCTAAATAATAAAATAACTATTCTATCATTTGTTGTACATCAAACAATATTATAAATCAATCTTATTATCACAAGCAAATCAGAAATCCGTATCAAGAACAAAAAGCACGTTTTTTATAAATCAATCAAGAAAATCAAGAACCATGTCATGAACAAGAAGCACATTTTTTATAAATCAATCGAGAAAATCAAGAACCATGTCATGAAGAAGCAAATAGGGGTGTGAGTCAGACAACGAAAAAGTAAACAGAGGACTGTCGGTATTCTTGACGGAAAACAAGGCTAGAAAAGCTTTGGTTAACCAAGAGACTGATAGAGAACAGGACTAGGAGACCACCGGTGTTCTCGATGGAGAACCAGGAGATCGGCTAGTAAACGAGCCTGATTGAGCAGAGAATTATTACATCGGTGAACCAGGAGCTGGTTTAAGGGATTAAGGTTCCAGAAGGCAAAACGAGATGAAAGCATTGTTGGATTCAAGGAGAAAAGGTGGTCTCGTTATTTTTGTTTAATCAGAGTGTGTTTCACAAAGGGCAAGAGTGTGAAAAAAATGGCTAAGTGCATATGAATTCACTTTTGGACAAACCGAATAAGCTCGTTTCTACCCCCCATTAAATCACTTCCAAACACCTATGTATACGCTTACCGAATAAACCATATAGTCACATAATCCATTAAGCCATTACCGAACAACCCCAAAGTTTTGGATAAAAGATTCTTATCCTTACCTTTTGCATTTTAACCTCAAAAATATTTTCTATAACCATTTTATAATTTTAGAAAAATTTATGGGCCGTTTACTAAACATTTACCCGGTAAGTGTTAATCGGATAACTTTCCTCACTTGATGCACATGGCAAGCGCTTAAAATCTTACCCGGTAAAAGTGATGATAAGGATAGAGAGTCTTACCCGATAAGTTATTACGAAGACTCTTACCCGGATAAACGTTTACCGAGTAAATTGTTGCATATCATACAATTTTAATATACTACAATTTTATCTGGTAAAATAGATTATAATGTTGACTTATACGGTAAGCGCTTACCGGATAAGTATTCGGGTAAACGACCCCTTAGACCGGTTAAAGGATTCAATTCAGAAAAATATAGGATTTTGATTTATGAAAAATAATATATTGAGAAACAACTAACACCAATTGGGGATGTAGCTCAGATGGTAGAGCGCTCGCTTAGCATGCGAGAGGTACGGGGATCGATACCCCGCATCTCCATTTATTATTTTCAATTTAAAAATATATAATTTTTATTTTCAATTTAAAAAATATATAATTTTCATTTTATTTCATGAATATATATTTCACATTATCTCTATTCCCGTTTAAATAATTGACAACATGCCGTTTTAGCTTTTTATTTGTATTATTTTTATTCTTAAATATAGTTATTTAAAAAAAATAATTTAATTTTGGGATTTATCATAATTGTGTGTTAATTCTTTTTATATCTTTTCCCATCTTAAAATGAAACTGAGCGGAAGTTATGAGGTTCTGATCTCGGAATCTCATCTTTCAAGGTCAAGAGCCATAGAGCCAGGAGACCATTCGAGTGTTCGACGATCCTACTTCTGATGTCATCCCCTTCTGTTCCCTCCCTGTTGAATATCCCAGCTATTTTCTATCAAATTATGGGATGGATCATGAAATTTTTTGTCGTCAGATGTTGATAAGGAATAACCAGTTATAGAAGCGGGTGGCAGGGAATGAAAGCACTACCGCGCTATCAAAGTAGATATATTAGTTACCTGTTTTAAGTTATATTTATTGTTTCATCTTTTATATTGTTGATAGACGTTTTTTGATCAATAATCAGACCAAGCTCTTGAACTCATTATCTCAGGTCGGAACAAGTTGATATGATCCCCCTTTTTATGTGAAAGGGTGATCTCGTAGTTCTTGGTCTGTGAAGATGCATTGTTAGGTGCTCATTCACATTTTTTTCCCACCAACAATGTTCTTGATCTCTCTTAATATCATTCTTAGGGATGAAGTTTCTCTCGCTTTTGGCATAGTGGGCCCCCAATGGGGGGCAAAACGGATTTTCCCAATGTATAAACTAAAAATTCGTAACTCCCCATGAGATAATTGTATGATTTTCCAAGGTAAAAAGACGTCTAACCAATTAAAAACAAAAATAAATAGGAACATAGTTCCAATAAAAAGAACCAAGGACCATAAATTTTCCAAGGTCAACACATCATAAAACGGTACCACCGGGTAAAAGTCGTCACTCTCACTTAACGAGTAAGACTCTCCATTTTATCATCATACATACTAGGTAAGATTTTCAATATTTGTCATATTCATCCAATAAGATAAATGACCCCGACAAGCATTTACCTGATAGAAGTTTAACATGAAACATAACAAGTATGAAACAAGTCGAGTTTTTATTTTCTAATTATTTTGTATATTTTTTATTAAATTAAAGAATTAATAAAAAGAAAATACTAAATAAATGTATTTGACAAGAAAGTGTAATAAAATAAACTCAAAATTGATTAATTAAAAAAGAGAAATATAATTTGGAAACATTTTTGTTTTATAAACTTGACCTAAGAATATAAAAGAATTGGAAATTCAAAAAAAATGAAGAATTTAAAGAAGCTAATGTCAATTGTCAATACAATTTGACCCAAACGGATTGACCTGGTATCCCATCGTGTATTACAAACAGCATATAATACCCCGGTGGTGCAACATTAGGTGATGCAGGCGCACGTACCGTAACTTTATACCCAAACACCGATAAGTGTTCCACTGAAACAATATGCAAAAATAACACCCGTTGATTCATTGCGAAGGAGTGAGTCGTAAACGAGGGTGCAACCATGGTTACGATGAGCCTACGATCCAAACCACTCAAAGTCATAGTCAACGTTATATTAAAATACTGACCGTAGATTACGCTTTCATCAATCCCGTATTCAACGGACAAGATTGACGGCCTATAATAAGCGAATCTATCGTCCATGTACGGCGGTGAAAACGATTCCAAACTCAGATCAGTTGGGTAATTCACTCCGCTGAATTGGTATGACACGTGTGGATTACTTCCACCCACTAATATTCTGCCATCTGGCAGTAATACAGCTGCTGAGTGGTACATCCTGGGTCTTGTGGTGGGGTTGAGCACAGTGAATAACCTCTTTCTCGGTTCGTAAAGAACAGGATGCAAAGCCGGTTCAATCGCATTCTCCCAACCGGCCGTCCCTCTCGCTGCTCCGTTAATGATCAGAACATCGCCGGTCGGTAAAAGAATCATATCCGGCATTATCCGGCGAAGTGGCATCTTCTCGGTGATCCAATATGGCTGAAGAGAATTAAGGTTCATACGGCCGCAGGTTCTAGAAGCCGCCATGAACAAACCTCGCTCCGCCATGGAAAACGAGCCAGCTCTCGCACCGCCGCAGATCATAACCTCCACCGGCGGCGATTGCACGTTTTCGTGAAGGTTAATCGGAAGTAAAACCGATGAACCAGTTGATGGGTACGATCGTTTTTCTCCGGGAATCGGAGGAAACTCACGAACAACTCGACCGTGAACGTAATCCAATAATATCGAACGTTGATTCGCGAAGATGAACAGATTTCCGTCCGGCAAGATGTGTAGAAACGGATAAAGATTGTTTTCCTCTTGATAATCACTTGTTTCCATCAAGAAAGTGAGATTAAACAAGTTTAAAGAGGAAGAACCAATTGGGTTTCGTGGGTAGAACTCATAGCTGAAAGCTCTCCGGCCACCGACTATTATAATGTTGCCGTCGGGAAGAATGTGGTTGGAAGCATACCAACGTTGAACAGTTAAGTTTCTTGCTAACTCAATCCAATCACAAGATTGGTCATTGCATGGAGTGAATAAACGTATTCTGTGATCGCCGGCGTGGTAGCCGCCGGTTTGGACGAGGGTTCCGGTGGGATCGACGGTGCCGGAAGAGCACCAGACGTTGGTTTGGACGTAAAGTGGTCGGAAAGTGTTGGAAGGTACGTCGTAGAGGATGGAATGGGCGGTGCAATCTGGCCGGAGGAGTTCGTCGTTAAGCCGGCACGTTTCTCCAAACGGGAGACTGAGGTTTGACGCTCCAAAGTCCGTCCGATCAAATATAACGACTTTGTTATTGTGTAGAAGCTGCATGTGCATGGCGGAAATACCTATACTGCGTTGCAGGAGAACCCAATTTCCCAACGGCTTTTTTGGCAGTTGATTGAGTTTTTCTGTTATCGGCTGTAAGTGACGGTCATTTCGGCCATCCGCCGCCGGAGGAGGTGGTTGTGTAGGTGCGGGTGGCGGTGGAGGGAGTGTGGGTGGTGGAGGAGGTGGGATAACATGAGGTTGGTCATGGTGGCGATGACGGTGGTGGTGGTCGGCGGGAAAGAGAGGGAGGAGAGAGAGAGTAGTAAGGAGGAGGAAGAAGAAAGATTGGTTGTTGAAGAATGCCGCCATATAACTTGTAATAAAATTTTCTTTGGGTTTTCTTGCGACTCTTTATTCGGCTTTATATTTATCTTTGGGGATAAAGAATGGGGGTGGGGGGTTGTTTAAGGGAATAATATGTAATTTCTTTGTCCGATGGTTTGAGTTTGGACTTCAAATGTCAAAAGTGTCCGGAGGTTCCAAGTTCAAATCCAAGTAGGAATAAAAATCCTCTTGTAGTCACGGAAGTTCAAATGTGATGACTCCGATCTACTCATAAAACAAGCGGTTGTCTTAAGATAAGCCGTCTTGCATAGCAGGTTGGATATCCAGGTTAATCAAAAGAAGAACGAAAAATATATTATTTTATATTTTTAAATAAGAAGGGAAAAGAAAATGATTTTTCATGTTCTTGAACATTAAAGAAAGGAAGGTAAAGATGTTGTTGTTACTAATATATCATTTAAAATGAAAGATTTAATAGTTTAATTTGTAATTTTAATAATTTTTTTAAAAGGTTTTGATTTTTTTTTAAACTTTACTTCGGAAAAAAGTTTCGAAAATACAATATAAATTTAAATTATTTTTTTATACCAAAAGAGTCATTAATTATTTGAAATTTCCTTTTCATAGATTATGTATAACGAAATATAACCTTTTTTAAGGAATAAATGATTGTGTCAATCTTAAGGGCTTCATCCTTTGAAATAGCAAATTATCCACTTATGTGTAAGCATTGCATAAATCTTGAAATAAAATATGCAACATGTATTGCAATTCTTGGACATTTTTTCAATTATTAAAAAATGATATGGTGGTCATTGTAATAGTATTTTTATATACAATTGAAACAATCGAAAAACATATATAAGTTAATATATGTTTGTTCATCGGTTGACATTCATTGGATGTGAAGGGAACCGAATCGATCCAATCATTCATTGGATGTTAGATTTTTCCTAACCGATTCGATCCGATTAATATTGGATAATCGATTCAATCCAATCCGATTGATGATTGGATCGGTTTGGTTCCATCCATTTGATATCCAATGGATGATCCGATAAGATTGAATTTATTCAGTGTGTTAATTCAATCTAGTTTTCTAACAATGATACAAATTAATTAATCACTTTTATTATGTGTTAAAACAAACACAAGGGAAGTTAAAAATTCAAAGTCTCACATAAAACAAATTCCGATTTAAGCAATTTGAAAATAAATTAATTAAGTGATAGTTAGATGGACAACTGGATGGTCATCGAATTATTAATTAGATGAGTAATTGGATGTTGGTCGGTTCGGTTCGGTTTTGGTCGGTTATAGACTGTCATTCGAGAAACCGACCGATCCAAATTGGATGTTGGAATTTTCATTTTGATCCGATCCAAATTCAATTGGATATCCAAATATCCTACCCGTCGTCCATATAAGTAGTCCATAAATCCAGTTTTGAGGCCAAAAATCAAAATCGAGTTCCGTTCGATTTATGGGTATCTCCATAATCTAAAAGGTGCGGCTGGATCACCTTCTTTTTAGGGAGAGCTAATGTTTGTTGGGAATGTTGGTTTGACATTGTAATTCTATGCTACCTGCAGGAATGCGAGCCTTGCCGGTTTAACTAGGACTTTGTGGAATTTTTACGCAAATCAAGAATAATTTTAATTTAGACAAATAAAGTAAACAATTTTACAGAACTTTCATATATATATATATATATATATATATAAGTTCCAAATTTGAATGAATTTTTTTATATAAACGATGGTAATTTGAAAAACCCCTATTCATACAAAGAAGTGTTTTATTCGATTTGGTAGATCCTTATGAATTGGTGAAGATACGGTGAAGATTGTTACAACAACAATAGTTGTGGAGGTATAAACATTGGTAATTGTTGGACGATGGTGGTTATGGAGGACATGAACATGGTGGATAGTTGTGGTGGTGGCGGTCGACAGTGGTGGAGGAGGTAGTTATGGTCTATATGGTGGAGGTAAGTGTGATGGTCGACAGTGATGGTCGAAATGGTGGAGGTGGTGGTGGCCAATGATACTAGTGGTGGTGGTGATGGACAGTGGTGGTTGTGGAGGATGTGACATTTTAGACAATGATAGTGGTAACGGACGGTGGTAGTGGGCAATGGTAGTTGATGGTTGTGGAGTTAGTGGAGGAGGTTGTAGTAGAGAAGAAGATGGAGGTGACTAACGATAGTAGTGGTGGTGACAATGGACGGTAGTGGTTGGCGGCCAACAATGATTGTGGAGGTGGTGGAGGAGGTCGTTGTAGTAGAAGAGAAAGTGAAGATGGCCAACGGTGGTAGTGGTGATGAACGGTGGTGGTTGCGGAGGTGGTCGATGGTCAAATGGTGGTGATGGACGATGGTGGAGGAGGTGGAGGTGGCCAACGGTGGCTACCAGTGGTGTTGGTAATAGCAAGTAGCGGTAGTGACCATTAAAACAAATATCATGTTAAAATTATATATCAAATGATGGTTAATTAGTTATATTTTAATTTATGTCTAATTCTTGTCTTATTTCCAAAAAAAAAAAAAAACCTATTTTATACCATCACATGTCGCATCAAACATGGCCTAATGACTTTTGTCCCGTCGCACCTAGTCTCTATTCACGTGCACCAGTTTATACCTGAACCAAATGACTTACAAATCCTTAAAGCTTTGTCACTGGTAGATTCAGTGCACCAGTTTATACCTGTATCGACCGGCAAACGTTCTTTTCTCCGGCGTGATCTCCGATCGGTTTGCTTTCCTACTCACCTCTTGATCATTTACAGATATTTCTCATGCATTTTCGTGTTATCGCGCAAACATATATTGTAATTACTCATTCGTAAAACCCTAATTCCTACTCCACTTCAACAATTTAAGTTACACACGTAACGGATCATGGAGATCGGTCTGAGAAATGTTGATTGATAAAGCTAATTTGAAGTACCACGATCATCACTCCATTGAAGAAATAATTTCAATAGAAGTGCGTACTTATGAAGAGTATAATTTTAAGTTGGCGTGTTAAGCAGTCTCTATATTTGTTCTTGTAAATCATAGTAAATATCCTAGTACGTCTCTGTATGATTTGATTGAAGTGGAGGTATGCTCTGGAACTCAAATCACGTTGATTAGGATTCAACCAAAATCTGTCTGACGTCTGAACTAAAACTTGAAATTCAATTCCAGACCTCTAGCTAGAAGCTCTTAGGTACTATGAAGCTTCATTACAGATTGCTCAAGAAAAATGTGTATGAAATGCCTATGTGCAGTTCCATGGTAATTCGGTATTTTACCAACTTCTTTTAGGCAGATACAGGTGTTAATACTCGGCATTGCTGATTAAATAGAGAATTAATAGGAATATCAAAACAAGCAGTTGTAAGAACTTTGAATGATAAGCCCTTGGTAATAAAGAATTAAGAGAAATATCAAGAATGAGAAGTAACAAAATGTTCATGGGTGTGCGTAAAAGCTGGAAAAATCATAGCTTCTTTTGGGCATTTAAAGTACTTTGTTCCTTCCAAAGGCTTATAATGGTTGACCATGGATAAACCAGTGCCAAATGGGTTCAATCTTGTATTTTTTTGGGTAAGTTGATTGATAAAGACTAGCTTAAGTTGTAAGTAATATAGATTAATATTGAACTGAATAGGCATAATTTCTTGATGCCAGTTGTATGCGTTTAGAGGTCAATTCAAGAAGACATTTCTTTTGCATTTCAGAGGAACTCTTGGTGGGGCCGAAAAGATTTTTGGGAGTGTGGTCCCATCCTACATCTCAGGAGGCAGAACTGAAGGTCAAGCAGAATCAAACAACATGAAGCTAGCTGCAAAATTAGATGGTCTTATGGCTGAAAATCAATATCCAGTAACATCTTTTGCTGATGATTATGATGGAAAAAGGGAAGGAGCTGGGAGTAAACATGGCAGATTGGGAGCCATAAGTACACTGAATGGCTTAACTATAGTAGATAAACACACTGATGTTCATGAAGAAGAAGGATGGATTACCATTCCATGCAGTACTCCCTCTCTATTTTTCTTGATTATTTTATTCTGTTTTATCGAGTAATAGCCTCTGTGTAATGATGGTGCTTTTCAGAAAGCACGCATGCATGCATACTTTTGATGTCGACCAGTATGACCAATCTTTGTACATAAGTTATCTCTGTTTAGCGATACTTGTTGCTTGTTCAACATAGAGGTAAAAGTTGCAATGTTTAAAATTTACGAGGTGGAAGATTACTTGCATAATGCATCCATTGGAGTATAATAGCATTTTCAATTAAAAACCATTTCCCAAAGATCCACATGTACGTTAAAGAATTGTTATCTTATAGTCCCTATAGGGCTGATATTGTGATAGGTTGAATGGCTTCAATTTTGTGGCTTCCCTTAAGGTAAAGTCAAATGATACATGCTGTATTGCTTTGACCTTCTAATACTCATACCCACCAATGTTAGTGAACCAAATTTGCTCTAATCTATTCAGCCTACAAGGTCAAACTGATTGTAGACTCCCATCTTTATGCTTCTACAAGTGAAGTTCTATGTTGTGGTTTAAATTGTTTCGTAGAGGAAAGACATGAGATGCTAATGGTTTCTTGCACCAACTTGATTCATTAAGGTGGCATGTAGATGAATCTAAGTGGAGTGAATGCTTCTCTTATTTACTTTTTGTATTAGTGAGGGTATTAGGAATCTTGCAAACTGTCCTGATCAATAAAACTATATCAGAGGTGTGAAGAGTGATATATAATCATTAGCCAACTAGGTATATTGGCAGGAAATGTAACAATCAGTTTTATTGGTGCTGAATGCTAAATTTCAATTATGCAAGGCAAAACAATATGCATACGAATTTCACTTGATTAATATCAGGTTCAAGACAAACAGCAGCACAGTTAATTGGCCTTGAATAGTTTGTGTTGATATTTCAGTTATTGTCCCAGGCAGATGGATGAGTTGTTTCAAACACAGAAGAAGGCACGGTGACATGCATGTTGTAGTTGAAAATATGACTGACAAACATAAGATGTAACAGTGATAATGGTTTTCTAGTAATATTCTAAATGAAACTTTGCTGGCAAATATAATTGTATATGTGCTTATAGATATTAATAATATGCATAACCGATTTTCACCAATGCTTTTCCAGAGGAGCTTCCTGATGGTTGGACTGAAGAATCAGACATGCTACCATTTAGATCCTTGGACCGCCCCTTTGTTTTTCCAGGTAGTTGTTCATCCTTAAATGTATTGAACTGGTTATGATGTGGAATTCACGTTTTCAGTCTGTAAGGGAGCATTTCTCTTTCTCTTCATGATATACTTCCCTATTTCTCTTTTCTATTTTGCGGAAACATTATATTTTTCTGAAACCCAGGTGAACAAGTTCATATTCTAGCATGCTTATCTGCATGCAAGCAGGATGTAGAAACTATCACTTCACTTAACCCTGCTGAAGTGACGAGTAAAAGTGGTGTTGGCCAAAACACAAAAAAACATAACGTTCAAACTGAACAAGGACCTACACAAGTTTCTAAAGTGGAATCAAGTGACCTTACGGAAGGCAAGATGAACCACAAGAATAAAGTTGCTGCTGAATCAGCTCTCAGAATGGAAGAATACAGAAGAAAAACTGAAGCGTTGTTGAAAAGATTTAGGAATTCTCATTTTTTTGCTCGAATTGCTGAGGCAGATGAAGCTCTTTGGTCGAGAAGGAAAACCCAGGAAACATTTCCGGGATCAACATCAACAATTGGAGGAAAATTCCTCCCAGTGGAATCCAGTAATGATGTTAATAAGGAGCCCCCTCTGAATGTTGACAGAGGAAGTCTTGATGCTAGCACCTCAGGTGGAGTTGCAAAAAATGATGTCAAGTGTAGCTTACTTGCTAATGGAGACATAGTGGTATGTGCCGGGAACGATATTTATAACTTCATTATGTTCATTTTATCTACTGGTTTGATAGGAACAGAGAGCTCTAGGCTTAGGCTTGCATTTCCATGTCTGTTTATCATGCATGAAATTTTTGGTATTTATTTGTGCCAAGAGCCACATTGCATTTATGGAGGTGCTTTTACAGGAAATATCATGTGAATTTGTGTAATAACAAAATTTCCTGCAACCAGGTAGACTTATCATAAAACATCAAGTAAATGGCTTAGTATCAGATATACAAGACCAAATAGACTTCATTTTGTTCTGTTTAGGAACATGCTGTTCTCTGATTGCTGATTGGCCCCCATGAGCGTAAAAGCAATTTCTGGTCTAGTAGCGGAATATGTTCTGCAAGCATGAAGAGAATGAGGATTTAGAAGAGTTCATATAGTGAATCATGCAGTTTACCTGTGCTTGTACATTGTCGGACGGCATGTGAGAAGCTTACATCATTGCTTTGATAAGTTTTCCTTGCTATTCAGTATCAAACCCACCATACCTGATACAACTGAATCCAACAAAGCATTTCCTGAAACTAGTTTGTATAGAGTACGGAGTAGAAAATGCATGAAATATAAATAAGAAAGATGATGCAGCCTAAGCATACAAAGTGTATGCTAGTTAGTTGGGAAGCAATATCTAATCTCTCTTTTGGGTCAGGGCGAACTCGGTGACTAAAGCTCCTTGTCTTTGCAAGAGTTGAGGATGGAAGTCTAAATATGTGGTCTTTCTCTTGCATTTTGCAAAGAGGTTGATTTAGGGTGACTTGAAGGTGGACCTGCTAGTAAGTAGTAACAAAGGAGTAACTGCTCTACTGCTTTCCCCATTCTCTCCCTTTTGGGTGGGATCATAAAAGTATTTTTATACAGGAAGGATTAATGAAAGGCCCACAGCCTTTAATACAGTCCCATCTCAAAGTTCAACGAAAGCTTACTGCCTACTTTACAAACCAACATGGCAAGCGTAGATGATGCCATATATTCTGCTAATATAGGTCTTCCTACACTGCATTACATCCAAGTATTGCAAGTCCTTTAAGAAATAACATCTTTCCTTTGCTGTACTCTTGTCAGATATGGAGGCACTGAATCCAAGTACCATACCAAGTCACCTGGCGCGGATTATTTGTCCAAGTAGCCAATTAAGAAAGCGATTGTAATACATCGATGCATTTTTGCTGTATCATGATTCATGGCATCATTCACTGAAGACCTCTATAAACTGTATAAAATATATACGCCTCTTAAAAAGTAATTAGACTTTAAAGAAGATGGGCCATGTTGATGGAAACTCAATGAACTTATAGGATTAGTTTATGGGCCATCAATCATTTAGCTGGGTGGTATATGGGCGGTGGGCCCATTCCTTAGGTGGTTATACCTTGGAGGTCTTGGGTTCAGATCTCCCTCTCCCTTTCCTTTTCTCCAAAATATGCATGGATCATTTCCAGTCCTGAGTCTTCAAACTTGGACGAGGATAATTTCAAATCCAAAGATCACGATGCAGCATGAGAGCTCCATGATTTCAGATACTCTTTCTGTTGTTTATGTACATTGTGGTTATATAATTCGAAATGAAAGCACTACATATATTTCTTTATCACAAAGATTTCTTAAGCCCTTTGATCGTTCCCATGTATGTTTTTTTATCTGTCTTCCCCTAATCTGATCTCTGTCAACTCTCTAACAAGCATTCTCTTGAATAACTTATTGAACACCTTGGATGCTTGCACCTCTTGTCTCCTTCCCCTTCTATGTGAACACAGACCTTGGTTTTAGTTGGTTGATGACATCTCTGATGGTCCATGTGATGAGTCATCAGAATTAGATAACTGGTGCTATTCACTTTTACTTCTTCTTTAGTTATCTTATTTTACAATTTCTTCTTTTTGCCCCTCACCAATATTTCCCTTGAAAGGTTCGTTATAGACCTAAAGAATGTCATATCAAGACCCTTTCCATTATAGGGATCATGGACCTCCTGCCTTCTGGGACATGATCGAATCAGGCTTCTTTTTTGCTCTTTAACTTTTGAAGGAGAGAAACCATGTACGTTTTGGCATGAACCAACCTGCCCTTTTAGAGATTTTATTTTCCGCGCTTTTTTTTTCTTCCTCTTGAATGGGGGGTGGGGTTGATTATGGAATCATTTCAGTGTTATGATAGTGTGTAAAACTTTCTTTATGGCTTGTTTTTCGTCAGTGCTAAACATGTACTTTTCAAATATGAGTCCCTGTGTGACCATGTCCATTAGGTCTCAATGTATTCATTATTTGGAAGGACACATGTATTCCTTATTTGTATTCTGTTTTCCTGTTTGGAAGGATGCAGGTGCTTTTACAGGTAACTATTGGTGTAGACTTTTTGAGAGATCCAGTCCTGGAAGTTCTACAGTTTGAAAAATATCAGGAGGCGGCATTGACATCTGGGTGCTCTGAGGACTTGGGCCACACAAAACAAGACCCTTATGGAGATCTCTTGAAATGGTTGCTTCCTTTACGCAATTCTGTATCTACACCTCATTTTTTTCCTCCTCCACAGATGAGTTCCAGTCCAAATGCTCGTAGCTCATTGACAAAGCCCAACGCCCCAAGCTCATTTGGTTCTCAGAACTTTTTATTAGGTCAGTTTAGAAGTCATTCAATGACATCACTTTCATCAAAAAGTGTACCTTCTCCTACTCCTTTGACCTCTAGTTCTAGACCACACGTCGGCCTAGAAGATTGGGATCAATATTTATCTGATAAGTCTGGCAGTGAAAGAAGTGGTGAAGGGCTTTTATCTTTCCGAGGTGTACCACTGGAGCCAGAAAGGTTTTCTGTCCGTTGTGGACTGGAAGGCATTTACATACCAGGTAGAAGGTGGAGGAGGAAAATTGAAATTATACAACCCTTAGAGATTAATTGCTCTGTTGTCGACTGCAATACAGAAGATCTTCTTTGCGTCCAAATCAAGGTCCAAACTTCCTTCGGCAGTTAAACTATAATCTGTTACTGAACTAAAAATAGGAGTTGAATAATTATGTGTTTAAATCATGATCATGCAGAATGTTTCTCCAGCACATGCTCCGGATATTGTTATATACTTGGATGCCATAACAGTTATATTTGAGGAGGCTCTTGAAGGTGGACCCCCTTTGTCTTTACCAACTGTGTGTATTGAAGCTGGCAATGACCATGGCTTGCCAGATCTAGCCCTCAGGTTAATCCCCTCTCAAATTTCTATGATATGTTGGTTATGTCTCATGATGATTGCAGCACTGCTATTAATATGACTATGAGCAAAGTATTTGAATCACCTAACTCTATTACATTCTATCTTTGACCATCATGACTTCCAGTCTGTGTGTCATTCCAATGTGAAGCAGTTTAGAGAGATGTTATTCATTAGAGAGCCAACCAGCAGGGATGGAGCCAGTTAAGTGACACATGGGGGAGACAGGAAGGAAAGGAACAGGCTGGCATTGATTTTACTAGTAAGTCTATATGGTGAAGAATGTGGAGGTCTTGTGAACAATTCAGAAAAAGGGTGGAGGAGATAAATGAATTAAGGGAAATTGAATGAAATAGCCAATCCCCTCAAGCGGTTTCACTTTTTAGCCACTTTTGTACCTTATTTCGACTTTTAGCCATTTCTTATGCATATGCATAAGGTTTGCTTTTTAGTCAAAAAGGTTACGCATAAATAAGAAGTTACACATAAGCCTCTTTTTTGACCTTTAGCCACCTACTTTAAAATGAAAAAAAGTTACGCATAAATGCGTAAGGATTTTTTTCTTTTTTCCCCCAGAAAAGCAAACGTAAGAAATGGCTAAAAGTCAAAATGAGGTACAAAAGTGGCTAAAAAGTGAACCCCCTTGATGGGATTGGCTATTTCAGTTAAGTTCCTCGTGAATTAATTGCATAAAGATTAAAAAAAAAGATCTGGGCAATCTGAAAACGGATAGCATTTTTAGGCTAAATAGGAAAATGAAATGCAGGAAAGAGACTTATCAATAACCTACATGAAGCATTGGTTGAAGATGAAGAAAATGAGGAGTCAAAGGAGCACACCACTGAGGGAAGATTTATGCAACTTCGGAGAGTGCCTTGGGATCAACGGGATGAAGACGGGATAGTTTGTGATACTTCAAAAGAATTTATTCATGAGATAGTCTCTGGGAATAGTATTAGAAAGAGACGATAGCAATAAGAAAGTGTGAAAGTCTTTTGTTTCAGTTTTTTGTTTAGTTAGATGGTGCTTTAGGTTGGTCATCAATCTTTCAGGATTTGGCCAGATTATTTCTAGTGGTTGCGTCCCATCTTAGTTGTTCAAGTCTCAACAGTTGTGTGGTTAGGCTGGTTCATACTTACTCAGCATATTTCAGTTTTCTAGGTGTTAAATAGAAAAAAACTTTCCATTAATTTTTTTTATTAATTTAAGCTCAAGATTGTAGTTCTGGAATACGGCATTCATCTAATCAATGTAGGACACAGAGCAAGGTTATTTCTGTGGTAGCTTTCAGTGCAATGTTCATCCTCCATGATTAAACCACAATCTGGAAAAGAGGAGTTTTATACACTTGATTCGCTTTTCAACAGAGGTTTGGTACATTAAGACTTTCTAAATTTTGATGTGCACTAACTTCTGACAGTTTCATCCTGTCCGGTTTACTTCCCTTTCTTTATCTGCCTGCAATTCAGCCTATTACCTTCCACTTAATTTGGTCATCTTTCTTTGTATCTTGTCCTATGTTGTATATTCTTTTTTTTGTAGCTCACTAAACTATCGTCAGCCTGGGAAAGACCACTTGAATTCATCCAAGTTTAAATCTTCCTTTGTGCAGATTGGTGAAATCATTAATTTTTCACATGTTTTATCTTTAAGTGACATATAATCATATTTGAATATCAGAATAGAGGGCTTTGTCTTTGCTGGAGAGAATGATAGTAATCTGGCATATTCATGACTACATGGTGATTTAATGGTGCTTGAATATGATGGAATGGCTTTAAGAGCAAAAGTGATTATTTCCATTGTGATGAAAATCTACATGAAATGTCTTATTGTGGCTTTTATGAACATATATTTCTACTTTGGGTTGTGAGAGATTGGAGTAGTTATATGTTCATCAAAATAGAACTTTTTGGGGGTACTTGTCATATAGTTGTCAACAATGTTCCCCATCAGATAATAAACAAAGTCTGACAGTAGAAGTAGGTAAACTCCTTATTTGGGTAATCATCACATTGTTGTAACTCATTATATTGTTCCTTGAAAAAAGTAGACAGCGGATATCTATTATGGTCAATACTTAATACCCCATCCCATGAAAATTGTACCAATTTCCATTTTTGGCTGTCCCACGAAAATTCCAACCTTTTCATTTTTGGAAGCTTTTCAAGTTAGAACTATTTGCATATTATAAGCATTACGAAGAAGTGAGGATATTGTTTTGGGTCCACCAAATTCCGTTACTTCTGTATGGACTATGGTTAACTTGATGTTCCCTGACAGGAAAGATGAGGAACACTCCTTCATGCTCAAACCAGCAACGTCATTTCGGAGTTCAAATGCTCAAGGGGAGAAAAGTTCTAGACCATCATTGTGGGCTGGAAGTGCACGATCAAGTCTGTACAGCTTCTCCAATGTGGATCGTTGTGCCTTCCCTGCTAATAAATATTCAGTTCTTGTATCATGTCGATGCAACTATACTGGTAATTAAGTTTTCATGTTTTGGCACCTTTCTACTCCCTCCATCCCAAAATAAGGGACTGTTTGTTAGCAGCTTAATAAGCTTAATAGGACTTACAGCTTATTCGGTCAGCTATACATGACTGTTTGGTAGTGGCTTAATATATAGAAAGTGGCTTATTCAGTAAGCTTCTTAGGGGGGGAGCTTTATGCAAGAAAGCCAAGTTTTTTCCAAACCTGCCCTTCCCAATTAAAAACTGCTCATTCCATCTATGAAGTGTAATAATTACACATTTCTAAAATTGTGTGCCTTCTTCACTGTGGACATTTATTTTTGGGACAGGAGTAATGGTTTGATTGTTTTGGCCTTTTTATTATAACTTTGGATTATATATACACCCATTAAGATTCCCATTCATGCAGGATCTAGGTTGTTTTTCAAGCAGCCAACAAACTGGAGACCACATATTCAAAAGGACCTTTTGATCTCCGTTGCATCCCAAATGTCAAAACAAATTCTTGGACCACATGATAGAATCACTCGCTTGCCTATTCAGGTTTCAATCTGGAACATATTTAGACATGATTGTGATGAAAATAAACGAGTACGCACAAAAGCTCATTTTATTCCATTTATGGTCAGGTCTTAACTCTTCAGGCTTCAAATTTAACAAATGAAGATCTAACATTAACATTGCTTGCTCCATCTTCACTTACTTCTCCTTCTGTGGTGTCGTTAAGTTGTTCATCTGCTTCCCCGTTAAGCCCATCTGACGAGTCTGTTGCTAGAACGAGTGGCGATATGCAAGGTATTTCCCTGCAGAGGCTCTGCGCAGCATCTAAGGTACTAGATCAGAAATGGGGTGATGATGGTTGGTGGAGACCCGACTCTTTTAATGAGCAAACAATTTCCATTTCTGATGTAATTCCGAGAAATGGTATGGGCCATACACATTTGTGGTTGAAGAGTAGAGTTCCTCTAGGGTAAGGCTCGGCTCATCTTGTTTTTCATGATTTTGGTTTAAGATTTTAGTAATTTACATGATGATTTCTCGAAATACTGTTTATTGGAATCAGGTGCGTTCCTTCTCGATCCACAGTGACTATCGAGCTCGAGCTACTTCCATTAACCGATGGCATTATTACTCTAGATTCTTTACAGATCAATGTTGAAAAAGGTAAATAGTCTTCTCCTTGTTAACTTTTTTATCTCCTTGCTTTTACTGTCTTAATACAAATACCTCCTTCCTCCCATGAGAAATACAACATTTGATTTCACGTATAGTCTAATGTAAGTGTCGGATTTGTCAAACATTTATAAAAACCCTTCAACGAACACAAAAAATTAATTTTTTGGACCCAAATCAATAACATCAATTTATTTGTGATGATAATTCGCATATTAGTTTTAACCCGTTTTCAAAAAAATGCAAGTGTTGCAATTTCCATAGGACACCCCAGAACTTGTTGTAAATCATGTGAGACGGAAGGAGTATCTAATTTGGCGGGGTAAACAATGCTCCACCAGCCTTAAGTTACATGGGCAGGGTTGACACCATCAGGCCAAAGGCCTCTTGTATAGCCATATGCCATATGTTTCTAGTTTCTTGTTTTGAAGGTCCACTTTTCTTTATTCCTCCATATTGGAACATGTTAGTCCCACATCGACTAGATTTGGACAATTTCTCCTTTATATATGTTGGAACTTCCTGCTATCTACTAGAGCTCTTTTGGAGGTTAAATAAATAGGGTTTCACTTATTCTCACATGGTATCAGAGTCGAGGTCTACCATTCTAGGGACTCGGACACTTTGGGAGAATATATGCCTTTGCCCGTTAACCCCCTCATGACACTCCAGGACAATTTGTGTCCGTCTACCCACCATTTGAGGGGGCTTGTTGGGGGCTTGTTGGAGCTCCACGTCGGCTAGTCTTGGACCATTACTCCTCCATACATGTTGGAACTTTCTCGTTTCCTTAAAGGCTCTTTTGGATAGTAATCTAATGGGGTTCTACATCTATAACCACCACTGGCCTCATGGGCTTGAAGATGGTAACATTTTGAATTTACTCTCAAGTAAAACACACACACACACACATACATTGAAATGCATAATAAAGTTGTTTGTGATATCGAAGAACTTTCTTGAATTGTGGCACAACAGGTCTATCCTATATCCCTGAGCAACCCCTCAAGATAAATGCAACTTCTAGCATCAGCTCTGGAGCCATCTAAGTTTCGACAAAGATAACTGCTACTTTTGGATCTTTGAATTAATCTCCATCGCTATATGGTTCATCCCACAGCCATGGATTACGGAGGTACCTTTTCTCCCTTTCTCGTGTGTGGTCGATTTAAGTGTGCGAGTGAAATCAAAGTTTTTATTTATGTTGGTTTTGTTTATACTTAGGCTCTGGTTTATAAGCCATCATCTGTGGTGTAAAAATTATTTTTGATTTATTCATGTGACCCTGAACAGCTGAGAATACATCTATCTATGTTTTGTTGAGTTTAAAAAAGATGATTTGTCCAGTTAGGTGTTTATGGAATTGGTACCCTAAAACTTGCACATTGCTTGTGCAAAGTGTTCTCCAAGCTATAAGTGGGTCCCGTATAGCACGGTTGATTCCGGGGGTGGTATACTTGCACAAACGAACCAGCTTAGTGTCTGGTTACAATTAGAGATGCACAAAAAAGCCCAAGCATAACCCTGACCCGGCCTGAAAAATCCGGCGCTTAGCAAGCCCAAAGCCTGATCTGGGCCAGGTCTCAAGAGCCTGATCTGGCCGAAATTTTGGGTCTTTTTATACCGTGTGGCACATGTGATTCTGGGGTGGTATATTTGCACAAACAAACACCGGGTGCAAGTCTGGAAGCTATTACAATTAGAGATACACCAAAAAGCCTAAGCCCAAGCCTAAGCCTGATCTTGGCCCTGCCTGAAAAAGCCCGGGCCTAGTGAAGCCTGATCCGGTCCAAGTCTCAAAGCTTGATCAGGCCGAAATTTGGGGGCAGGCCCAGCCCGGTCCAGTCCGAAAAAGCCCTGCCTGTAAAAGCCCGAAAATGCCTAAGGCTTGAAAAAGCTCTATCGTCCCCTTTTCCAACCCCAAAGCCGCCTTCTTTTACTTGTTGAAACTAGGCCTAGACCCGAAAAATGTCCGAGCCTTGTACATCTCTAGTTACAATTCATTTGGGATTAGGCTCTTGAACCTACCACTTAATAGACCGTTGTGTACCTGATTTGTCTCAAACATGATACTTTTAGCTTACATAGTCAGTATAATGTCATGTTATACATTAATTTCGATGTAATTGTTATACCATCTTATCAAATCAAATTAACGGTAGATGATACATCCGCTTTATTTTGCACAATTGAAAATGTTATCTAATAATAAGTATTATTTATATTATAAAAAAGTCGGTATTTTAACGTATTTTTCTATAAACCATTGACTTTAATCTGGGGAAAGCTTTTTTTGTCAAATAAGTTGAAATGTGTCATGGTTCATGCATTAATCATGATTTGTTGACTTTCTTTAGTTCATTAATTGCGGTGACCAATCTTTAAAACTACAATAATTCTAACTACTTTTAATTGAAATTTAATGTTCGCAATGTTTTTCCAAATATTTGTAGTTCCTTTTCTTAACGCGGTCGACAATTTTATTTATAGACCATGGGTATGGGTGTTTGGTTAAAGGTATTAAACTGTAATTAATAAAAACTAAAAAAAACTGTTTGGTTTTATATAATATAATGAGTTTATTTCTTCATAAGTCCAAATATTCATTTATGTTTAAACCGGAGGGAATGAAAATTTGTTCCCATTTCATTTCTTGTTATTTTCATTCCTCAGTATAAACCAAATAATCTCTCGTATTTTCTTGAACTTGAAATAAATGAAATGGCGAAAATAAACTTTTTTTTTTGTTTTTGACCTTAGACTAATCAATCCAATATTAATAAATACGTTTAGAACAAATGCTCCTTGAAAATGTATTTTTTGCTAAGTCACAAAATTGGAAATTCTTGTTCCTGGTCGACCATTTTTGATTCATGGATCTAATCTGTTTGAGAGTGTAACACCGTTAACTAGAGTGTCTAATGGGAAAAATCTATTCAAAACTTGAATGGATGATCTAAATGGTGATGTAAAGGTTGGAACACCTTTGCGTAAGTTAATATGAAGAGTTAAAAGTGACGGAAGTCGAAAAAGTCGCGTAGATTGTATTTTATGCAAATTCTCTTTTTACACAGTTAACACATAAAACATGTTTTAACATATAATACATATTTAGAATAACTAGTTAAACATATTTAGAAGGAGGGATGTTACAGAGAACAAAAATACTTGCAAGATCATTGGGGATTTTTCTGACTGTTCTACAAAGTCTTCTAGAACATCATCAGTTGCAGTTCCTACAAGACTATCGAGAATTTTCCTGACTGTTCTATAAAGCCTTATAAAACCAGATAAGGTGCTCTTAAGCTTGCTCGGAAATCTTTCCCGATCTACATATGTTAGCTCCAAGAAATTTCTTCATTATAAGTTATTCACGATAGGTTCTAATAGAAAAATCCATGGGATCCCATAATTATATATAAGTTTTGATTCTGAATAAAACATATACTGCAATACTAAGGTGTTGTTTGGTTCGTAGAATTCAAAGGAATTGGAATGATCATTTCATTTGATCAAATTCCAATTTCTTCATTTGGTTCACATACTGAAATGGATGGAATCCTTTTAATTTCACAAACTGATGAATTCATCATTTCTTGACATAAGTTAAAGAATTGAATTCCATCAATTTGCATCTAAATTAACCAACACCGTCCACCCCTCCCCCCCCACCACGACCATGCTATTATTGTTACTGTCACGCTCCGTAACCCCCACCACCATATTGCCTTTGTCACAACTGCCACCTACTCTCGTCACCCACCCGCCCCACCACCAATGGCCTGTTGTCATCACAACCCATACACCCTCCCCACCTCTGCCCCGTCCCTAACACCCCCGACCACCACTAACCACCAATACCATCAGCGCCCCCACCCTTCTCCCAAACTGAGATGAAGATTCCAATTCATTTGAGAGATCATATTTCAATTCCTACCAATCAATTGCATGGTCAAATTCCGTTCCAATTCTTTCAAAGTCAAATTCCTTTGCTGGATCCTAATTCTATCGAATTCCATCATGTGAACCAAACACGTGATTAATATTTATAAACATTATATTTAATTTAAACTTTAAAAAATGTGTTAAAGAAATTCTTGAAAAAACGAGCCACCGCGTTGTCTTCATTTTGGTCACTGTAATGGGTTTTTCGAAAATTAAATCAAATGTTCAATAGCAAAAAAATGTAAAAAGTTTTCAAGATAGGTCTAAATAGTAAATTAACCAGCTCACTTTTTAGTCACTTTTAAAACTGAATTTTTATTATAGTCGGTGTTTACATAAAGTAAAACAACTGCATAAATCATATTTTCAGATTAAAAAAAGAAAAAATAAACAAATTCTTTACGCAAATAGGGATCCATACACGAATTTACGTGAATACTTTTTTTTTTCCTCATTTTTCTAAATATAAAATTTAAGTTTACGTAAATACACAAGACATTCACGTAAACTCTGACTAAAATAAAAATTCAATTGAAAAAAGTGAACTTTGCTGGGAAGATTCGTTCGTTCAATAAAGCTAGACCTTGACAGGGGGCAGATCTAGTGCATGATGGTAGGGGTCCTACGCCCTTAACAAACCCACCATTTTTTTTAAAGAAAATGATATAAAAAGATTTGTTTAGTAAATTTTCCTATTGTGCGCCCAACAAGAACAAGGCAAGGACCCCCCCCCCCCCAACTTGATATCCTGATTGTTAATTGGTCCATCTGCAATACACACTGATATTTTCGTTCGAAATATAAAATATAAAAATTATACACCTCGATTAATTAGTAAAAAGCCAACTGAAAATCGACCTGAATAAGTTATTTTTATTCGGTTACCTGAACCAACCGAAAAGGAAAAACCCAAAACCGTTTTCATCCGGATGAATTATTTGGTTTTGAATTTTGTTTTCTATACCCCTAAGTGTGCCCCCGACTATAAAAGTTTATGAATCAGTCACTGGGCCTTTACACCTCTCTTAGGTTGCTAGTTCGAGTGAACTCAAGGATATTAACGACTTTTTGACTGTTATCTTTAGAGCTTAATGAAATGAGTCGAGATTCATACAAATTACAAACTGACTTAAAAATATGTTGTTGAAAAAAATCATTTAATGATAAAATGCAATAATACTAATAAGATTTGATAATTAAAAAACACTTCCTCGTTTAGCATTCAATAATTAAGTTATTGTTTTATTTATCCTGAGTAGGTTGTAATATATTCCTTTCTTGATTCTTTTGCTTTTCTTTTTCCCTCCAAATAATTGAAAATGGAGCATCAACAATCAACAACACCATCTTGGGCTGTTTGGTAGTTGTTGAATGATTTTGTGCAGAATCATTAAGTGGTGAGAATGATTAATAGGCTCTCATGATATAGTGCAAAATGAAATATAATTGTTTGGTAAATTTTTATAATGAAATTAGGGCTCTTAATGGTTAAGGAAGACACATGATACAAAATCATTCAGAGGGTTTTAGAACCATTAAGAAACAAATTTTTTTTTGCAAAACAAGATTCACCTCTTAACGATTTAGAGATTGCCTCTTAATAGTTAGGTAAACAAACAACCTCTTGAGTACATGGATAGCTGGTTGAAGATTAATTTTAGATTAAAAAGAAATTCATGTCATTAACCACGTCAGCAAGTAATCCCGAGTTGGATACCATATCACTCGCCACATCAGCATGATAACCGATTAATGCTTCAACCGGTTGCCCGGATACTTAAATGTTTAAAACTTTACATCTTAGATACAAAAATGGAATTCTGAAAGTACATTACTCAAAATAGGAATCAAGTTAAAGTACGTTACATTTTCATGCAATTTGCCCTACATATATTTGTTACATAATATTATTGTTTCATATTGTAAAACTTTTTATGTGTATTTTTCATTTTACTATGTAAACAGAAAGAAATTCAGATAAAATTTTCACCATATGAATACAATGCAGAAGTGATTAAATAAATGTAAAAGTTCATGAAAATGACTTAAAATTGTAGATAAATTTAAATAAAAGTAGATAAATGTAGTTGAAGAAAAATAAGTTAGATTAAAAAGTCAAAGATCCATAAATATTCTCATCATTCTTAACATAATTGTTATTCACAAGAACATATTTATTTTACTAGAACATGAGAACATCATTTTACTATAGTCAATCATGTGATAATAAATCAAAGAAGCAGGCTATATGTCCTCTCAATGTGTATTATCACATGATAAACATGTTCTCATGTTTTCATAAAAGAGAGATGTTCTTGTATAAATCTCCACCTATAATTATATATATATATATATATATATATATATATACACACACACACACACACATTATATTATAAAACAGTTGACAAAAACTCTTAAAAACCATTTTTTATGCATGAAGTATTGTTTATTAATGCATATTGCTTAAAATTCAATATTATAATTAAATAATACGTAAGTACATCTTATTAAAACTCAATGTTTTAATCTGTGTAACTAATAACAGATAAACATAATTAAATGATAAACATTTCATTTTAAATATAAAAAAAACTAAAATATAATTAAAATAATCATTGAGTAATAACATAATACTTAATTATTGTTTTTACAAAAACTTGTATCATTAAACCAAAAATAGATTACCTTTAAGTCTAATTAAAATTATAATAAAAAAATTGAATTAAATAAATTACAAAATCCGAGAACTTTGAAATAGTTAATTTGATACTAATATCTATATATTTTTTTAAATTTTAAAATGTCTTTAAGTTTATATTTATTCAAAAATAAAAACATTATCGTGTTTTTATTACCATATAAAACAATTTTATAACATCGACATAAACAAATAATAAAACAAAATATTAAAATTGAGATGTATCTCGCTGAATTACACGAATACTATTCTAATATATATATAAGTATTAACATAATTTAAAATCATCAATTAAAAAAACATAATTTAAATAGTGTCATAAAGTTTTAAACCACACTATTATGGACGGTACGGAGACTTGTGTCATGAAATAAACACTTCTAATTTAAATATCATGTAAAATGCTTTATTTAAAATCATTATTTTTTTAATTCAGAAATTATATTTAATGATAATTTAGTGTGAGAGAGGGGTAAAAAAGGCAAAAAAATATTTTATATGGTGGGGGCATCAACAGACACGTCACCCCCGACAACAAATAATAACTTTATGCTGCCCAAACTGCCCGCTTTTCGCACTTCCTCTCACGAAACCAAACTCTCCCTCTATATTTCCATTTAACTCCCTCCTGCCCACCTCTGACTACTTTCATCTCTCAAGGGTATAATCGGAAAACTCACCTCCTGGCTCCTGCCCCTACCATTCGGGCATTTGACGGTCACTCAGAATCTTTTTATAATTTTATATTTGAAACATAAATCATTTACAAATTAAAATTTAATATTTCTTAATTTATTTGTTTTTTGTGAAGCTTTTTATTTTATTTATGGAAGCATCTATTTACTTAATTACACTTAAACCCCTGTCGTTATGATAAATGTTAAAATATTTTGTTATCATATGTGCTTTAAAATTATTAAATTTTATTGGATGTTAAATTGTCTTAGTGGTTGTTTAGCAGTTGTTGAATGATTAAGTGATAAGAATGATTAAAAGACTCCCATAATATAGTGTAAAATAAAATATAATTGTTTGATAGTTGTTTACAATAAAATTAGGGCGTTGAATGGTTAAGGGAAACTCATTATACAAAATCAGTCAGAGGATTTTAGAACCATTAAGAGACAAAAAAAATTTATCAAACAAGATTCATCTTTTAACGATTCAAATGATGTCTTTTAATGAAACTATTAAGAAGCAAACAAACAACCCCTTATGTTATCACAGTTTGAAAATGAGAGAGAAACGACATATATGTCGTGTTCTTGTTCAAATGATATATATCGTCTCGTCAAAATTTAAATGTTTAATATATATATATATATATATATATATATATATATTACATTCAACCATGTCCATTTGTACAAACAATGCAACCCAATCAATTAAGATATTTATAGAAATGAATTCATTTATTATAATTTGAATATTTATGAAAAATGATTAGAGTTTATTAATTATGATCAATAATTTATGTTAGGAAACAATCAAAACTTTTATGAAATTACATATTTATCAAATTAAATGGACGGTTGAGATTGAGTTGTATTGGTTATACAAATGTAAAGGGTTGCATAATAACTCATCTTTCTCTCTTTCTCTCTCTCTCTCTCTCTCTCTCTCTCTATATATATATATATATATGTGTGTGTGTGTGTGTGTGTGGAATGATTCAAACGAAAACACTTTTTTACCATAGAAAATCACATGTGATACTATTATTCCATCACATGTGATACTAAATCAGAGACGCGGACGATTTTCGATGCGATCTTTGTTGCAAGCCAAGTCGCCCTTAATCACTAAGCCCCCTCACAAGTATTATCGCATGTGATAAGAGTATTATTGTTATGATACTATAACCCATCAAGACCATCACATGTGATGCTAAATCATAGATGCAGATAACCTTTGGCGCAACCTAAGTCATAGAACACGTCATTCGCACATCACAGGGTCCCCTCACGCATATTATCACATGTGATAAGAATGTTCTTGTGTTCTCGTGAAATGGAGGTGTTCTCATTTGAACCTCCATACACACACACACACACATATATATATATATATATATATATATTGAGAGAGAGAGAGAGAGTTTGTTTCAAATACAACTCATCGTATTTGTACAACCAATACAACCCAATAAATTGAGATATTTATGGAAATGATGAGAGTTCATTTATTATGATTTGAATATTTATGGAAGATGAATATGGTTCATTAATTATGATCAATACTTTATATTAAGAAACAATCAAAACTTCTATGAAATCACATACTAATCAAATGAAATTGGACGGTTGAGATTGAGTTGTATTGGTTGCACAAATGTCAAATGTTATATAATAACCAACCTATATATATATATATATATATATATATATATATATATATATATACATCTTTATTATCTTATTTGACAATATAATCAACAAGAGTGCCTCTAAAAAGTTGAATATCCCTATCAATAAATGAAATTCACAATATAATCAACATAATACCTTTAAATAAAAATATCTCAATACATCATCATTTGACGATTCTACATAAATTCTCTCTGTATTTTATCCCAAGTTTGAACCTCCTCTATCAATAAATGAAATTCACATCCACAATCAGATAAAAACCCTTTAATCATCAATAAATTATTCAAAATAAAAAGTTAAAAACCAAAATTTTTAAAACAAAATTTATATTCTTCATTTTAAAGATTACAAGATGAATCAAATCTATGAAAGGGGTGTTTGAAATTGCTTATAAAAATAATTTATTGATTTATTTTGGTATGACACCGATAATAAATACTTTTTAATGTTTGGATAAACAGTTTATACTGGTAATAAAAAGTTTTTAAAGAAATTAAATCATTATTACTTATAATAAATTAATAAAATTTAAAAAAAACATATTTTTTTTAAAATAAGCAATCCCAAAAACCCTTTTCCCCAAAAATCAAATCTCTTTTGCATTTACAGTTTGAAATTGATGTAAAAGGAAGGCATGTTTGTGATATGTGCAGTTCCATCGAAGTCGACATCTGTTTGATTATTTAAAAGCGAAATTTCTTTTGTTTTATGGGAGGTTTGAAGAAGTCAGTCTTTTCTGTGAGATTTCAAATCATTTTTGAGTAGTAGACATGGGTGGGGGGTGGTCGTGGTGGTGATGGTGATGGTGGTGGGTGCTTTCAGACGCAACAAGAACATTATATCTGATGCACCTTGCACTCTTTCTCTCTCTACTCTACTCTCTTCCCTTTTCTATTCTTTCTTGTCCTACAAATTCAATTTTATAACCACTTCATGATCTTGTTTGAAAATTCCCAATTCGCTTGTTTAAAACCCTAATTTTTTTAATCAACTTTGAAGGTATTCGTTTCATCTTTCTTTTCCATCTTCAATCTCAAATGGGTTTTCATTATTAATCTTGATTTCAATGCAAGAAATTCAAATGGGTTTTCTTTATCAATCTTGATTTCAATCCAAGAAACTGGTCCAAAAGTTGGGAGGTGAGTGCCATCTTCAATCTCAAGTGGGGTTTCTCTTTCAATCTTGATTTCAAACCCAGAAATTGGTCCAAAAGATGGGGGGTTTTGGAATTTGGATGGTGGGTTGATGATATCAAGTGGGTATGATTTTTAGGGTTTCTTTGAAAGATGAAATCTGGTGATCAAGAAAGTGCAAAGATGGAGTCTTTGCATGTTGTGAAATCAAAAGGGAACAAGAAAAAGAAGAAGAATGAGGAAGGGGTTGTGGGTGAAGAAAAGACAAGAAGTGGGTGTTGGAATAGATGGGGGTTTATTGGCAGCTGTGTTTCTTCAAGATCCAAAGTTGATAGCTCAACCAGTGGAATCAGTGGTAAAATCTTGTTGTCTTATTGCATAATTTTAGCTGAATCATGCTGGTATTTCATCTTTTCACATACTCTTTATGATGTTTTATGTTATCTTGTTTGATTTAGAACAGAAAACTTATGATGTGCAGAATGAATGATATTTGGTAGTTTTTGTCCAAAATCCCCTTTTTAGCCATGATTCATGTATGGTATGAACTTGTATGATATGGGTGTAAGAGGCCCTGACCATGATCTTTGGTTGAAATATGTGAGATCCCACAGGGGAAGGCAAGAAAGGTGCCCTTTTAGGGGATTGGATTAAAACTGTTAAGGCTTGTTTGTTAGCAGCTTAATGACCTTGACGAGTCTTACAGCTTATTCAGTCAGCTATACATGATTGTTTGGTAACGGCTTTATGATATAGAAAGTAGTTTATTCAGTCATCTATACATGTCTCTTTGGTACCGGCTTAGTGATATAGATAGTAGCTTATTCAGTCAGCTATACATGACTGTTTGGTAATGTCTTATAACTAATTTCATTTAATCTTTATTATGTGTGGCTGCAGAAAGTAAGTCGACAAATGATACCAGCAAAGATCAAGCAGAAGTTCTGGTAGGTGAAAACAATTTGTCGACTCCGAAACCATTGGAGGAGGAACTCAAAGTTGCTTCCCGCCTTCGGAAATTTGCTTTCAATGATCTTAAATTGGCAACACGAAACTTTAGGCCCGAAAGTCTTCTTGGTGAAGGGGGTTTTGGGTGTGTGTTTAAAGGATGGATTGAAGAGAATGGAACTGCACCCGTGAAACCGGGCACAGGACTAACCGTTGCTGTCAAAACCCTGAATCACGACGGGCTTCAGGGTCATACAGAGTGGCTGGTTCGATGCTTTCTATCTATTTTATTAAAAAAAGCACAATTATGACTTCGAATTCTGAACAAAATACTTATGTTTTTGGCAGGCAGAAGTAAATTTTCTAGGCGATCTTGTTAATCCGAATTTGGTTAAATTGATCGGTTATTGCAACGAAGATGATCAACGGCTGCTAGTGTATGAGTTCTTGCCTCGGGGTAGCTTGGAGAATCACTTGTTCAGAAGTATGTCATCTCTTCAAGTAGCGTTTCAATAAGCTCCAATGGCTTTTTTTCTTCCAATTATGCCCCTTATATTTCCCCATTTAATTTTTTGAAATGTTATTTTGGGTCATATTATACCGTGATCTAACTTATTAGCTAGTTTTTTTACCGAACATTACTGGTTTATGGGCTAACAGCTAGCTTATTAGTCAACACCTAGTTTTTCAGCTAACAGCTAGCTTATTAATGAACACCTAGTTTTTCAGCCAACACCTCGCTTATCAGCTAGTTTGCCAATCATAGCCTAAGGGTCTGTTTGTTAGCAGCTTAATGAGCTTAATGGGATGGACATCTTATTCAGTCAGTTATACTTAATGATATGGTAAGTGACTTAGTCGGTAAGCTTAGTGATACTTACTCGTCCTTTTGGGGTGAATTGTCTTACCTCATTGAGTATGGTGTTGATTGTATTTTTGGAATAGAGGTGAGATCTGCCATACATTCCACCCCCAGACCCGTCATTGGAGTGAGATATACTGAGTTAGTTTGGTTCAATGCAAAGTTATGGAATTTGCAACATTTTGCTTTTTTGTATTTTTCTAATACAATTGCGTTCTTATTATAGGATCGTTACCTCTTCCATGGTCCATCAGGATGAAAATCGCTCTTGGTGCCGCAAAGGGCCTTGCTTTCCTTCATGAAGAAGCAAAAAGACCCGTGATTTATCGTGATTTCAAAACCTCCAACATTTTGCTAGACGCGGTATGCAACCGAGACTTGGATGATTGCGCCTTCCTTTAAATGTTTTTGGGGTTCCGTTAGTATTTCTAATGGTTCGGTTTTTTCAGGAATACAATGCCAAACTTTCTGATTTTGGTCTTGCTAAAGATGGCCCGGAAGGTGATAAAACTCACATATCTACACGAGTCATGGGGACGTATGGTTATGCCGCCCCGGAATACGTGATGACAGGTCAGCATCTTGATCCTTTTATTCGGAACTCCTTATATGTATTCGTTTTGTGCTTTTAGTTCATCCGATTTCAATTGTGAAGTTGGTCAAATATATGTTTAGGGACAGGTTCAAATGAGAACTGTAAATATTTTGAGAAAATGAGAACCAACTATTTATGTTTTATTCATGATAAATGTCGTGATGGACATTTATGATGAATATACATGATACTTCGTGGTGAAAATGCATTATATCCTTGATGAATAATCACATTATTCAGGGTTATTCATCATGAATAACACATGAAATAGTTGGTTCTTAGATTCTCAGAAGGACGAGTGAGCCCTGAACCTTGGGTTCAGGTCACCGACACAACCAGGGAAGGACTGCACCCTTGTCGAACCCATGAGCCATCTGGGTGCACCCAGGTTGCTTTTTAGGATCTAATGATATATGATACCTTATTGTTATGTCTTGTTTTATGTTGTGCCTTTCTTAGGACATCTCAGTTCAAGAAGTGACGTTTATAGCTTCGGTGTCGTTTTACTCGAGATGTTGACTGGTCGGAGGTCAATGGACAAAAACCGTCCAAACGGTGAACACAACCTCGTTGAATGGGCCCGACCACATTTAGGAGAGAGGAGACGGTTTTATCGGTTAATAGACCCTCGGCTAGAAGGCCATTTCTCGGTAAAAGGAGCCCAGAAAGCCGCACAACTCGCGGCTCGTTGCCTTAGTCGTGATCCAAAAGCGAGGCCTTTGATGAGTGAAGTCGTTGAATATCTTAAACCGTTGCCAGCCCTAAAAGACATGGCGGGCTCATCGTATTACTTGCAGACGGTTCAATCCGAACGGGTGGGGTCCAGTCCCGACAGTCGGAACGGGACCCGACCACGTGCAGCGTCGTTTTCAAGAAACGGACCGCCACATGCACGAACCGTCTCGATACCTCATGGTTCTTCACCTTATCGGCAGCACGAGTCACCAAAGACGAATGGGAAGCAATAACCCTGAATTCGCACTTGCCATCTATTTGATGATGGCAATTGTGAATTTTGGGAGATTTGTAGTTTATGAGATGATTAAATTTGTATCATATGATATTATGTGTTTGATAAATTGATCACATTTGTTGAAGAAAATGTGACGACTTTCTCTTGTATTATATCAGTAATATTTAAAGACAATTTTGAGTTGTTGCAAATATATACATACGAGAAAACTTGTGATTTACGTAAATGCGAGAACAGTTGTAAACTCATCAATTTTTTTACGATGAACAAATAAAACCAATGATTGTGAACCATAAGGGTGGTGCCTGATTAATTTGAGTTTGACTTCAAAGGTCAAAAGTACCATGAGGTCCTAAGTTTAAATCCAAAGAGGAATAAAAATTCTTTTGTGGTCACGGAGGTTCAAATGCGGTGACTCTGGGCCATCTGCAAAGCATGTGGTCGTTCTGGAATTAGTTTGTTCGCGCGGGCTGGATATCTAGGTTAATAAAAAACCAATGATTGTGGATGTTTTTGATTTATCATATCATTATTATAGTAAATCATATCATAAGTTGTTTGATATGTCAAAACATTGTCATATTTTTATTATTTATATTAGATCATAAAGTTTTTGATAAAAAAATTTAAAAATTATTTTTTTACACATGAAGTTTTTTTTATTTATGTATATTATTTAAAATTTAAGATCATAAATAAATTGTGCGTATGTACAATATTTTAAAGCTTTATGTTTAAATTTGTATAACTAACTGTAGATAGACATAATCTAACACATGATAAATATCTTATTTTAAATGTAAAAAATTTAAAATATAATTAGGATATGTATTGGGTTATAAGAGTATACTTAATTATTATCTTTATAAAAAATTATATTGTTAAATAAAAAATAAATCATTTCATTATTAAATTAGATTATAATAAAAAAATTGAATTAAAAAAAATTACAAAAAAGAACTTTTAAATAGTTAATTTGATACTGATATCGATATATATTTTTTTCAAAATTTTATAATATCTTCAAATTTATATTTTATTCAAAATAAAAATATTGTTGTTTTCTCAAAACCATATTACACCGTATTATATTGATAGATATAAAGAATAAAATTAAACATTAAAATCGAGATTTATCTTCCTGTATTATACGAGTGCCCTTCTAGTAGTAAAATTATATTATTGTCATAACATTACCAATGATGGAGGCATCAACATAATAAGTCATTAATGATTTCAATAGCATTTAAGGAATATCTCTTATAACTATAAATTGTTGATAAAGTTATTTATTCTAACTTTTATTATAATTAATTAATTATTCTGGTAGAACTTGCTCTTGTTTAAACTCATATATATATATATATATATATAGAGAGAGAGAGAGAGAGAGAGAGAGAGAGAGAGAGATTAATCAAATGCAAACCACTCATATTTGTATAAACCGTGCAAACCACTTTCATCCRTCGATTTCATTGTTTAATYTTATGAAWTTTTTTCATAAAATTGTTTCATATAATACTTTTTTAGATGAAGTTGTTTCATATATGGTTATGAAATTCTTTCATATAATACTTATGAAATTTTAATGAAACTGTTTCATGTATTTCTCTAAAATTAACATAATAAAGATGATAATATCCATGATTAACACATTCCACAATAAGAATGATTAATCAACCTCTCATAATTACAAAAAAAAAAATGAACAAAATAAAAAATCATGATTGGTTGATTAAGGTATGTACTCATAACGTAGTTTGCAAAATAAACCTCATATATATATATATATATATATATACATATACATATATATATATATGTATAGAGAGAGAGAGAGAGAGAAGGGGGGGGGGGGGAAATAAAGCAGCTTCAAATCACATGTGATTGTGATGAAATCACATGCAAATGATGAGCAGGCACTTAGTCAGTAATAGTAAAAGTTGCATGACATGGTTAAAAAGTTACATGTGATTTACTTTTACTGGTAGATTGGAAAGAAAACAATTGAAAACTCCAAAAATCTGAATTTTTCTCCATTTCCAACAACCTATGATGCTCTACAACTTACAAAACACCACCAAGTAGCAAAAGTAAACCTAACAGTAAAAAACAAGACCAAAGACTCTTTTTTTTTTACTTACCTTTATTTCTCATACAACCATAATAAGCTCACAAAAGAGACCTTTTTTTTCACTTCAAGGCTTAAGAGCAAGTGCTAGACCCACCTTTGCACTCTTTTCAATTGCTCTTGTGTCTACTTCTCCTGAGATGGTGAAAAACGATTTCGGCCGCCATTCGTGTTGGAGGAGAGCGCTTGCTATGCCAAAGTTGTTCACCCGACCCTTCACCGTCGTCAATGGGTCCAGTGCGTGTTGTGTCCCAATTATCAATGAGTTTTCGTTGCTCGAGAACCCGTGGCTCAACTCCGCTCCCACAACGGTATTGGTTAGCAGGCTCACCGTGTGGTAGTAGGAAGCAGTAAGCGTGTCCGCTTTATCATTCCTGTATCAACAGAAAACCTTGTCAATACGCGCTACATTACCATGTGTAGTCATACAAAACCTATATCATGCTTTGCAAACTATTCCATGATAAGAGAAACACTTGTTAATAAGGTAAGGTAAAGGGAGGATCAAACGAGAAGTTGATCAATTTGCGAGAAGGCGAGAAGTTCCAAGATCATATATGATTACACATCATATGAACGCTTACATATATGATTCAACACATCCAAAAGAGACGCAGGCGACTTAGTGAACGCGACCAAAGGTCGCAGGAGAAGGTCGCCTGCTATGTGCCAGTCAACACAACATGTGTTTAATTATATATGATTAAGCGTGCTTATCATGTGTAATCATATATGATCTTGAAACTTCTCGTCTTATCACAAATTGACTCCCTTCTCGTTTGAACCTGACCCAGTTAAGGTATTGGTTTATTTATATATCCGAATCCAAAAGCCAGCTCAATCAACAAATAAATGCTAGGTTTGGGCTCCTCTCCATAGGTCACCGGTTTGAGTCTCTCCTTAAGGGCTCTAGGAATTTTCCTGGTAATTATCCTCAGGGCCTCGGAGGATTCGTCGAGGTAAGCACAAGCTGGCCCGGACACCCAGATTTACACATAAATGGCAACACATGTAATCTCTAAACAATTGGATCAATTGGATGCAGAATGAGAGATTAATATCTAAAACATAATCAGATTTGTAGAGATGACATCTATATGATCATATAGTCGAATGATTAAAAATCACAATCCAAGACTAAAATGAGGGTATTTGGATGGAGTGTTTGTAAAAACTACTCACATTCATTAATTACGGTAAGAGAGGGGGGAGTCCGATTTACAGGGGATAGAAGAGAGAGTGATTTTCTAAGGTGCCCCACAAGTTTATCTTTTTAACACTTTGTACACTAAATTTAGGACCAACAGAAAAAAAACCCGGGAGAGTCCATAAAAAGGGTCAACTGGTAGGTGGGTGCTAGTTAAGATCATTTTAAACATGATATGAAATAGATTACAGGCATTTTGGATCTATAATGGCTATAATCTAGAGACACCTTTTCTGATGTACTGATGTCCCTTTTCTGTCGGGCCTGTCTATTAAGGTGCGTTTGGGACGCTGGACAACACAGGAACAAAAGCTTGTTCAAGTTTGGCATGACACAAGGCAGCACTGAGTGGGACAAAATGCATTTTTTTTGTTCCACCCAAAATCAAGAAGATAGAAATAAAATTGGTAAATTACTTATGAAACCTTCCACAATTCTTTCACCCGCCTACCTCACTCTCTCCTATCCAGTCCTGTTTATACTAAACAAAAGCCCTGATAGACCTTGTATATTTCCCTTTCTAAATATATGCTATCGGTTTATTTAGAAAAAAAACAAAACTATCCATGCTAAAGAATTACTCACAGTGTAACGGATGCAATGAGATCAGAAGTGGAGAAACTCAGGCCAGCATTGTACTTGGTGAAATTCCCGGTAGCAGTATCGAAGGAAATGTCAGTCCCGAGGGCAACTGTGTTGTTCCCTGCCACACCAGAGAAGTTGACAATGGGGCTAGCTGTCAAACCAATGCTGGTACTGATTCCCGCATGCTCGTGCAAGTATTGAAGTTCAACCTGTAACCAAATTTCTTTGAGACTTGGAGAAACCCCTTAAACTAACATACATGTCTGCAACCTAATAAGAAAATGGAGTTATTAACCTAAATAGGCATATTGGCTTACTTTTTTAAAATTTAGCCACAATTTTTTTTTCTTTCAATTTAGTTCGATGACCGGCAAGTCTGACACCACAAGCAATTTAGACTTTTTCTGACAAATTCTGGGGAAACTTTTTTACATCTCCCGAGTACAAAGCCGCAAGTTGCGGTAGCCAAAACCGCAGCTTATGGTGCCGCAGGCCAAAAGTCTGGATTTGGTCAGAAAAGTCTGACACCGCAAGCACAAATTTTGGTGGCTAAATTTTAAAATAAGGAGGTCAATATGGTTATTTAGGTTGATTACTCTAGAAAAATGTCAAAGGGGTTGCAATAAGTACCTTGCCAGATCGCTGATCAGGAACGACAAAACTGAAGATTGTCTTCAGTCCAGGTGCAGGTTCATCAATAGTGATAGTCGTGAAAACCTTCATGGTAGTAGCCACATTTTGTTAAACTTTATGAATGTGGTAAGTGAATATTTACTTTTTGTTAAGTGTGTTGAATGAGAGATTTTTATTTTTTGGGGGGAGGTGGTCATACAACTAAGAGGTATTGTAGAAAAATACAAGAGCTTAATGAGAAAAACAAACCGCTAAATCCTAATCATTTAGTGAATAAGTGCATGTTTGTTAAATAAGTCCCCATCAAACAGCACTATATGGCTTATTGGATAAGACCTCAGCCAGTAAGTCACAAACAAACACCACCATAGTTAGCCAAAAGATTTTAGGACAGCATTAATAATCACTCCATCCCATGAAACTGAAACGAAGTTCTTTTAAAAATGTCAACTGAAAGTTGCTATACTTATTTGTCAACTGAAAGTACTTAAATGAAAACTACTACTTTGAAAATTACTTATTTGCCTATGGTCATCATTACAAAAAATCGATGGCACTGATGTGCATTAATAAGATTCCCCTACATTATTTGTCGTCAGATATCCCATGAAAGGGGAAAGGGACCAAAATAGCCAATCTCCCCAACCAACTTCACTTTTTAGCCATTTTTCCATCAAATTCACATTTTAGCCAGAGTTTACGCAAATCCTTATGCATTTGCGTAAAGCCTATTTCCAGATTAAAAAAATCTTTAAGCAAATTTGTGTAATTTGCACAAGGATCCCCATTTGTGTAGATAATTTTTTTAATCTGAAAATAGGCTTTGCGCAAGGCATTTGCATAAGCTTTGGCTAAAATAAGAATTTGATGCCAAAAGTGGCTAAAAGGTGAATTTGGTCCAGGAGATTGGCTATTTTGGTCAATTTCCCCCACAAAGGCTCTCGACAAGATGATATAGAAACACTCTACCAGCACAACTCTGCACAAAGCATTTCCCCATGTGTCCCACACTTCCTCACTAAGTTAGCTGTATACAGCAAGTGGGCATCAGTAACAAACTAATACTTGATGTTCCTACCAATCATACGAAAATAACAATAAGATCCACAAAAATGTGGTAAGGTACAGAAATCAAAGTCATTATTTACATAAAATCTGTGGCGTTAACATGGGTTTCAGCAATCAATCTATTTGGTAACTCCAAAAGAGGACCAGATATAAGCACTGAATCAAATTACTCCCATTACCTTAGAGTTTGTGTCCACTTTAACATCAGTTGTAATGTTTTTGTTGATCAGTTTGGTGTTGACATCAGCCAAAAACAGCTCACCTTTCTTGGCTCCTGATGAGGTAATTGACTGAAAAATAGATGAAATTGAAAAGACCAGCATATCAGACATATGCAATATTCAAAATACTACAGCCATCTTCAAAATCACATTTGGCAAAGGCCACAACTAACAAGGTACACAAGCAACAGATTATGCTATATACAAGTAGTCAAGCACAACCTAACAAAGCAGATTGACATGCCAAAGAAGATTCACATGATTTCCATACAGATGCAAGCCAAGATATCCTAATAGGTATCAGTTTTACATAACATAGCATCCTACAACTATTAAATTTCAAAATACCGACATTAAAAAATATATAAGAAAGTATTGCTGATCAAGGATACAATCTATGTTATACACAAACAAGAACAAATAACCACCATCCTAGTAATCATTTTACTTTTTCTTCAGTAATATACAAAAAACAATAGATGAAAGCAGTCAAAGAACACAAACATGGGTACTAGATTATGCATGACCAAGCTTACTCAAACGCTACAAACAGGACTCCAAGGCATATTGTAAAATTCAAGTGGAAGTTTCACAACTATAAGATCATTATCTATATTCCGCATTTGACATGAGGCAGCGTGTATATTTAATATTTAACACTAAAGAGAGAAAACCAATTGTGATTTCTTGCCAATGGAGTACAATCTAAACACGAATTACAGGCTCAAGATTTTCTCAATATTAAGAAAAACCTACAACAGTACTGTGCCTACATTTCCAGGACAGTTTAAAAGAGGGACTTAGATTATAGATAACATGCTTAGTCTTTTAGTTCCATTTGTTCTATAAAGAAATCTCAGGGAACTTGTAAATTGCAAAACAAAACCAAAGTTGCTCTATAAAATGCAATTAGCCGGTAAATTATGAGCTAGCTAATCAATTAAAATCCAAACAATCCAACTAGCCTGTCAGAAACAGCAAAACATCAAAATCCCAAACAATAACCTATCCTTAGCTTCAATCTCGAATTAAATTCGGATAACCACCACCTGCATAGTGAAGTATAGATGCATATTTGTATATACATAGATAGTAAGACAGACAGATATAGAGAGAGAGAGAGAGAGAGAGAGAGAGACTGACAACACCGTTCACGGTATAAGTTGTGAGAGAAAATTTATGGTCGCTCTGGTAATCCTTGTAAAGAAGATCTGGAAAACAACAAAAATGAATATTAAATCAAAATCAACCATTTTAAAACAGCATCGATTGAAGCAAAACACACACACACCATAAAACGAAGCAAAAGCAACCTTCCCTTCATTCTAACCTTTTTCTCGAAACAATCAAACACAGTAGTATCAATCAATTTACTGAATTTAGAACACAAACGCAGAAACGGGCATAACCGCAACAAGTAAATCGATATGCACAAATCAAAAACAAAAAATTTGATCTATGTGTCTGTGTCTACCTCTGGCTTTTTTGCCGATATCGGGATAGAGACCTGGACCTTTCCCCATCTCTGTTCTTCGTGCTCGAGAAATGTGTGCGTGTGTGTGTGAGAGAGAGATAGAGGAGAAATTCGTACAAACACGGCTTGCTGAACTGAATCGGTGCGGATGAAGATATTTCATATAGAGGACCTGTAATTTGTATAAATTGCAATAATCACCCCTGAATTTTGTTACATCTACTAACTACCACAAAAGTTTTTCTAACCCCTGAATTTTGTTACATCTACTAACTACCACAAAAGTTTTTCTATAAGTACCATATTATTTGACCCTAAACCCTAAACATTAAACTTTTCTGGTATTTTATTAGTGGTTGTTTATCAAATGTTTATCACGTAAATGTTTACTCATGTATGAGTTACCGTTTAAATGAGCATTGCAAAGACTTAGAATCTTACCCGGTAAGTAAGGGAAAAGACTTTTACTACCAGATAAAAAAATGTTTACCAACAATCTGTTTTAATAACAAAAAATGTTACCCGATAAAGTAAGTGATGGTGATGATATTGGTTTGATAAAGTGCTCCTCACATTGCGTATTCAATTTGAGCTTGAATATTAAAAAATTACGAATTTAATATAGAATGAGTTACGGTTTTCTTCATTTTTATGATTTTTTTTGTCTATCGACATGATTTATTATAGAAAAAACACTTAGGGTCTGTTTTAGTTTGCGGGAATGAAAAGGATTTGGAGGAGTTTGGTTTTCAAATCCATTCCAATCCGTGTTTGTGGGTGGTTGGGATTTCACAATATTTCGTATGATTTTTATATAATAATGTTTTAAAATATGTTTACAACATTTAGTTTTCTAATAATTCATTAATAAAAAAGATATTTTAATTAATTATTTATAAATGATTTATAAAAATGGAATTCCATTACGTTCCAAATCCATCACACTAAGCACACCAAAGATTTTAAAATCCTTCCAAATACAAATCTCTCCAATCCCAATTCCTTCCATGAAATCCAAATCCCTCAAAATCATTCCATCAAACCAAACGACCCTTTTGAGTATAATGGTCGTTTACCCTCTCTTATAAGTGGGTATCATGTGTCTTGTACATGAGGGCAAATATGTCATTTTAGGTTTTCTCTCTCTCTTGAGCTTTCGCGCAAAATCCTAATTCTAAATCCTCTTCTCTCTCTCTTCATATGTTTTTCGTTCCTCACCAACCTTGTTTTTTAACATGTAATATTTACATATGACAAATATTCACATGCGTTCTCAAATTTAGTAAGGTCTTAGACATTGGCTTTCTATAAGGTTAGGCTATACTGATAACAGGTATCATTAGTGTTATGATCCCTTGTTGCCCATGGTTGTGATTTTCTATGCCAAGTTCATGAATGGGTGCCATTTCTTTCATTCATGACTTTTGAAATAATTGAGGGGATTGTTTATTTATCTCTTAATAGTTTCATTAAGGGGCTGTTTGTTTGGCTCTTAATGGTGACATTAAGAGCCAACCTCTTAATCGGTAAGAGGTAAGGTTTGTTTGGCAAAAAAAAAAACCAAGACTCTTAATGGTTACACAAGCCTCTTAACCATTTTGAGTATAGGGGTTCACTAAACCATTCAGATTACATTTGTTCCCTCTTTACCCTTCCACAACCCTCTTCCAGCCGTCCACTCATCGTTACCTTCACGAGAACTCGTTGCATTGCACAGGTTCGCCGGTTGTCGCTCGACCGTCTCCATCGCCGGTGACCTCCACCGTCTCCATCGTCGGCGACCTCCACCGTCTCTATCGTTGGTCGCCTTCCACAGCTTCGATTGTCGCCTCCATCAGGTATCTTCTGTCTCCCCTATTTCAAGTATCTTCCGTTTGRGATGATTTTGGTCGCCGGTYGCCAGTCCYTTAACAGTAKCACARYTTCGATTTCAAGTATATYTGCATGATTTTCGATATATTACTTTCAACTTGACTTATTAGAAATCGAAATGGTTCTGAGAAAAACAGAGGAACATTGCTATTTAGATGTAGATCAACCCACTGCTTTCTTCAATTTTTTAAGAAATCCATGTTCACCTCTTCTTGTATAGAAATGAGAGCAAGAATTTACCTATTTAGGCTTTTAGTTGTTAGGTTTTCTTTCTTCAATTTTAGTTGTTAGGTAAATGCATAATGAAACAATGATGATCACTAAAAAATTTAGAGAGCAACAAACTAGTTCAGGATCCCACAATTAAAAGGTTAAAAAAGAGAGGGTTAAAATAGTAATTTGTTTTCATTCAGAAAACAGTTACCAAACAACATTATTTCATTCAACACTTAACTATTTTGATCTTTTTAACCATTCTGACCACTTAGCCATTCTGCACCAAACCATTCAGCAACCGCCAAACAGCCCCTAAGAGACTACCTCTTAATCATTAATAGGTGAATCTTATTTGAAAAAAAAAGTTTGTCTCATAATGATTCTAAAACCATCTAAATGATTTTATATCATGTGTCTCCTTTAATCATTCAGTGCTCTAATTCAATTATAAACAATTACCGAACAATTATATTTCATTTTGCACTATATCATAAGAGCCTCTTAATCATTCTGACCATTTAATCATTATACCATTAAGAATTGCCAAACATCCCCTAAGTGTTACGGAATTGAATCAAGAGGGGGGGTTTGAGATACTATGTTTTCAATTTATGTTGACATAAGTGGATTTTTATTTATTTATGACATGTAATCAGAATGATGTGTTATCTATATCACCTCATTTAAGACATATAAAAAAAAGGTTAACCGAATTAAAAAAAAAAGTAACAAGTTACCCACTAGTACAATAAGTATATTTTTCAAAGTACAATGTTTTAACCAGAACATAATTGAAAAGAATGTTGTTGTAATAAAAAGAAAAACAATGTTGTAATATTTTTTTTAATATTTTGATTAAAAGAAATGATATGCAAATAATAAAATTATATATATTCTCTTACACAATTTACGAATTTAAAAAAAAAAACCTTCCAAGAAATGAAATATTTATTTAAAATTATAAAATGTTTAGGGCGAAGTCGAAAAAGCAGTCCTTCCTCCATCTTTCCATATTCTGAACATAAATGGCGGATTGCTCTCCTCCTCCTCCTTCCTTCTTCAAGATCTTGCTCGACCCATCTGCTTCTCACCTGGTACTCATCTTCTTCATCCTTCTCTATCTGTTTTCATCTTTCTCTGAATTCGATTCATGAAATCATTCGATTTTGCAGCCATTGCCACATGCTTTTGTGAGCAAACACAAGATCCCTAAAAACCCAACACTTCAAATTGCAACAGGAGGGTATTCATGGCGATTGACAATTGAACGAATTGGTAAAGCTTATTGTTTCGGCCATGGATGGAAGAATGTTGTTGAAGATGCCCAGTTGGGTTTTGGGGATTTTCTTGTTTTTAAGTTGGTTCATCAATCCACCTTCATAGTTTCAGTCTTTGCTCCAAATGGGTGTGAAAGATTTTTGCCCTCCTCAAAAATCAAGGTTGAAGATGATGTTGATGTTGATGTTGATGTTGTTGATGATGATGATGATAGTAACGATGGTATTGTTTACGAAGGTGGTGGTGATGAAGATGATGATGAAGAAGAAGAAGAAGAAGATAATGATGATGATGATAGTGAAGAAGAAGAAGAAGAAGAAGATGATGATGATGATAGTGGCAGTGGTGGCGACGGCGACGGTGGTGATGATGATGATGATGATGGTGATGGTGGTATCGATGGAGATGATGGTGATCCTTTCTTTATGACGATTATTTCAAAAACCCACAACAATCTTTTGGTAAGATTTATGATGAGTATTACAATTCATTTTAATTTGTTGGATTTTGCCTTCTAAAACTGTTTTCAACTCATTTATTGGTAATATCAGCGGCTTCCATCGGAATTTGTTGAGTTGGCCGGAATCGGTAATCAAAGCACGATAACATTGAAGAATCTTGACGAACATGAGTGGCGATTAGGCATCCGGTCGGAGAAAATAGCCCGGACGGCAAGATACCATTTGTCGCCGGGATGGCAGGATTTCCGGCGAAGTAATGAGTTATCAGAAGGAGATGAATGTGTATTCAAGTACATCAAAAGTGAAGGGAAGTTATCACTAGTAAAAATCACCAAGAAAAAACCGATGGCCAGACAGTCACCAGTCAAAATTCCGGCGACGGAAGTGGTCAAGAGGAAGAGAGGCCGGCCTGTAGTGAAAGTGAATGCGGTGGCCAGACAACCACCGGCGAAAACTCCGGCGAAGAAAGTGGTCAAAAGGAAGAGAGGGCGACCGTTTAAAAACCGTCGTCCGGTGGATGTCCAAAGCGGAGATGATTGTGTGGAGGTGGTGCAAAGAAGACCATCAAAGAAATCTAGGGTTATCTATTTTTGAATCTTTTTTGTTTTTATTTTTATTTTAATTAAATTTCGAGAAATGCATGTGAATCCTATATTTAGATATGAAAATATAAGAGCAGATGGGGTTATAAATGAACAGATTGTGTGTTTCTTGAAGGGCATGTTCTGATATTGTGACCTTCTTCTCGACACAGCCTACAACTGTATGCCCTCTTTTTCGAGTTCTCCGGAGTTTCTGTGGCGGCAATTGTGGTTGTGGTGGTGGCGGCGGTTGTCGAGTTTGTTTGTTGGAGGCACGTCCGGCGGTTATGTCCAGGTTTTCCGCAAATACTGCAGCAGGGCTGTTTGAAATTTTGAGGATCAGATTCGATTGTTTCGTATTTCTTGCAGGTTCTTCTGTTATGACCCTTTTCGCCACACAGCCGGCATCTGAACTGGCGATCTGATGAAGTTTGATCGAGTTCTGGGCAGTAGTGCCGTCTGTGCCCTTGTCGACCGCAGTTTTTGCAGTAAAAGCTCACTCCTACATGAAAACCCGAGAATCATGGATACGGGTGGCAGAAAACATAACAAAATATGGGTCATTTAGGTCGTGCTCCTAATTGAAAACTCATTTTGGTCTTTCAAAATGCTAATAATCATATGAACGAGTGTACCTTTCATGGAAATGCTTCTCCTGTGTCGGTTTTCTGGATCGCTAAAGAAGGCTTTCATCGATTCAGAAGCACGTTTTCTTGCATCAATATCCCCTTTAGCTTTCTGCAAAGAGGGATCAATCACCACAAATCAATATCTTTATTTTAAGCTCGATATATGCTATTTACTTAGATAATTTAGGGTCTCTTTGTTAGCAGTTTAATGAGCTCAATGGGACTCTTGTTCGGTCAGCTATACGTGACTGTTTGGTAGTAGCCTAATGATATAGAAAGTGGCTTATTCAGTAAGCTTATAGGAAGAACGTTATGCAGAAACTGCAATTCCCAATTAGAAAAATGCTCATTTCATCTATGAAAAACTATTTCAAACAAAAACTTTCTCTATCTATACAGACAAATTAATCCACACAGACAACTTTATTCTTCTCTCATTCTCCGTACTCCAAGTGGGTCCCATCTAACCTCCGCTCCAGAATAAATGCAGACAGTAAAAAGTGCACAATTTTATAATGATAAACGGGTAAGAAATAATAGAGGCAGTCATTAGGACCTTGATTGCAGCCACTCTTTGAGCATGAAGCTTGGGATCACCATGGATGATTTTCATTCTGTTGGTAAATAGTCCAGTTTTGGCATTGAGGCTCTGTAATCACCCAACTAAAGACAGAAGATTAAGCTCATGATCCAGTGAATCTTTGAGCTTTTTTCAAACCATTTTTAAATATAAAATTCGATTAAAAATGGAAGGAAAGAAACAAACTTGCTTTCAAAGATCTACTAATCTTCAAACCAACTTCTGGAGATGGAGACTGGTATACGCGCTTTGATTTTCTCCTTGCGGCCAATTTTATTTCAAGATTGTCCACTTCATCGTCTTCCTTTACTTTCAATGGAGAACTGAATGCAAAGTAACATACATGACAACAGACTCATATAATGAGTTGTAGACTTTGTAGTTTTAACCCATTATACTTGACTTTTCGTTGCAAAGAAACCATTCTTTTTTGTGAAGATGCTAAAAAGAACACTATGTTTTACAAGAATATGAGAGATTTTGGAGAGACTGTGTCAAAGTGTAATGGTTCTTTTTGGATTTACTTCTCCATACATTCCCCAAATCATCCTTTCCTGCAAACCATGTGCTTTTGTTTTTGGCATTTTTGATGAGTGGTTGTTAGTAAGCAACAAAAGCCAAGTATGATAGTTCAGAAAGCCAATAATTCCATCCATGATTCATACATGAACTAAAACATACAGAGATATAGATTTACACTTGACTTTTATCATCATTCTTGTGATAAAACTAAAGAATACAATGTTGCAAGAATGAGAGATTTCAAACAAAAAAGTCAAGTGTGTGGTTCTTCTTGCATTTTGCCAATTTTTCACAAGCGTCCATTTTTGCAAATTATAGTGTTTTTTGGCATTTTCGCAAGATTAGTTACTAATTTACTGCAAAAAGTCAAGTATATTGTTTAAAAAGTTGATCATTCTAACAGTAATTTGTAAGCCAACGAAGACACAGAAATATATCAAGAAAACTAATGTGTAAAGTAAAAGCAAGACTGAAGATGATACATTGAACGGGCTTTCTCCCATGGTCGTTCATCAATGGACTCTTCCCAAATTACACATTCTCCTGAGCATTGACGACATGTAACCATACCCTGCCATAATCCAGTCTCAGGGTTTTAAGTAAAAGACAGAACTTGACATGGTAAAGAACCATAAATATCACACAAGAATTATCTAAAATGTTAACTATGGATGATGTAGAAGAAGGAACATATCTGACTTATGGGAAACCGGAAGAAAATCGCTATTCATTCCAAAATTTAGTTTTCACTACCCGTCCGAAAGATAACCGAATACAGTCACAGACTGCATGAAACCATCAGTTTGAACTAGAAGGTAACTTGGTTTTTGGTCAGTTTTTTTCGTGCCATTATCTTTTGGCAGTTTGGTTTTTCTTGTTCCAAACTATCTTCTAAGCTAACTATATGTAACACAGACGAAGGATCGTGTGAGAATAGGAGCTAAGGTGAGAAGTGTAAGAAGGGATTTGGACCCTTGATCACTTTTAATATTAAACCAACCCATGAATTGCTCTTTAGAAGGGAATTGATCCGGTGTATTTCGTTAGTGTTAATCTAATGTTTCTCTTCAATTAGGATTGATGGAGATCCCTTCATTCTCACCGCAACCCAACCCACATAACACATTACTTCCTAAATGTTGGATTTTAACTCTAAAGTCGGTTGTTCTCTATCTTGCAAGAATCTTAGGTCCCATTTGTTTTCACCATCAACATTTTTGGTTTGTGGGCTTCATTTATGTGTTGTGAGTATAACGAAAGAGGTGATTTTGGATTCTCTAACACTTGGGAAGCACAAAATAAAGGATGAAAAATACTACATAATGAATGCAACCTTACCTTGCCATGACACTGTGAACAATCTAATCTTGATCTTTCAATGCCACACATTGTGCAAGGGGTGTAGCCCCTTCCTCTGCAACTTGGGCAAGGCAACTCTCTTATGTACTGACCATTTGGACCAAACCATGACCTAGGAGTTGAACCACTTGGAAGAGCTTTCCTGGAATTGAAGTTGCATATCAATGCTTTGGTGCTAAAATTTTGAGGTATTAAACAGTAATTAATGAGATTGATAAGAAAAGAAACTGTTTGGTTTTATATAATGTAATCTATTCCACCAGAGGCCCAAATTTCCATTCCAGGTTAAGCTTAGGGAATGGAAATTTATTCCCATTATGAATCCCCTGTTTGAACCAAACAGCCCCGAGTGTAGAATGTTCTAACAGTGGTATTTGCTTCCCCATCATCATCATTACAAAGTTTTTTTATTCTTCTGATTTGTCACTATTGAACAACTTCATACAAATTTGACTAATAACCAAACCCTTCTACACAACTACATGTTCAGTTAAAGGTTGCAACGAATAAGTCCAACGGCAGGAACACATATTTAGGTGAATGTAAACAGATATGCAAATTATAATGTTTTAATGGTACTGAGATGACTCACAACCAAAATAATCTATATTTAAGCTGCAATCATCAAAATTGCCATCCATCAATACTGAAAACCAATCTCAATCAAACCAGAAAAAATAAGGTACTATGCATAAATTATAGATATAGAAAACTAAATACATCAACGAAAATTATCACACTAAAAAGTTGTAGGTTGAATACTTCAAATCAAAATCGACTTTAATCATGGAAGGAGGAAGAACAATGGTTTAAAAGTTAACAAATTAGGACTAATTCATAAACTCATCTAATCCAATTATAAATTTCCGAACAATAAACTCGTGTAGAAATACAGAAGAAATACCTCGGCTGCAGATCCGCAGAAAGTCCAAAGAGATCTTCGGAAGGATCATAACTCATCTGTAATCAACCAATCAATCAACAAAATCAGATGGCATATATATATATAGAGAGAGAGAGAGAGATTGATTGATTGATTTTGCTTGCCTGTGATTGTTTGGGATGAGGTTGTGAGGAGATATGATCATCGTTGAAAGAGGAAGAAACAATTAAGGGAGTGAAATCAAAAGAATGCTTCCTTTTACAGTGTAGGAGTAGCCAGTATTTGAAGTTTTTGTTGGTGTGGTTCCGTTGAGGGATGATTGCTCGAAAGGAAGAGCAGATGGATGAAGAAGCCATTAGAAAGAAGTTGCAGAGAGGGTTTAGTTGGCATGAAGAAGATGAAGTTGGTAGAAAAGGATGTGTGGACGTAAACGAGATAAACGATATCCCGCGAATAAATTGTCCCTTTTCGTATTTTATTTTATCGAAATAAATTATTCAAAGAACCCTAAAGAAGAGTTTTTGAATGGTTGTGGTAATTTTGTTTAATAAAAAAAGGTATATTTTTTAATAGATTTAATACTCTTTAAATGATTTTGTATTATTGGAGAGTCAATGAAATTTATTTCCACTTCATCCGCACTTTAAAATAGGGTTGTACATAAAGTAAGTTGGTCAGACTAAAGACATTTGAATAACTCAACCCACTATTTACGGTTTAAAAAATCTTAACCCAACCCAATGCAAACTGTACGGATTAGGTCGGGTTGAAACTTTGGTATATTATTTTACAACATAACTAAGCGATAGTGTTTAAATGTAGTAGAATCAAAATGATAGAAAATTAGAAATAAGCCTAACAAACACAAAGAAAAATAAAATAAAATTTATATAAATAAAAAAATAAAATTACGGTTGAAATTGTGATATAATTTTGAATAGAGCTGCTCATGGGATTGGGTTAGTCCAATATCCCTGATCAAAATGCACATATATTAATTAAGGATTCAACAATCATATTAAATTCATGGTATAAAAAGACATAGGATTGGGGTTGGTTCAAATGACCTTAATCTAATTCAAATTCAATACCGATTGTTTTAAAGATTAGACAAATCGACTAAGGAGCCGTTTATCTAAACACTTACCCGGTAAGTACTTATCAATAAAATTCAACATTATCGTTTATTTACTAGACAATATTTTATTCAATAAAACGCATCGTATGCAACTTTTTAATAAACAGTATATCACCAAACCAAAATTACGTTAAATAAAACTCTAGAAAACAACACAATTTAAAAATACAAAATATCAAAATTGAATATAAGATATTAATTGATACATATTAAATATTACTAAATATTAAAATAACAATAAAACTAAAGGGCCAAATTCCTCGTATAAAAACTTCTTGTTTTATATTTGATATAGTATTAGACTTAAATATGATATAACCTGATCGAGACAAAAATATATTTTATAGAGAAATGAAACAAAATTGGTATTGTTATATTAAAACCGTAAACCTACAAAAAAAATTACCCGTTTACCTTCGTCAATCCAGTCTTGTATAGTCCATGGGTCCGGTCTAATTCGCATACCAAACACTGTAATTTTTCTATTGAGTGAATTACAATGTCCTTATTTTAAAATATTTATGGATTATATGTCGTTGTGGTTTGTATTTTATAACATATTGGGTCCCTAAATCTAACTCCATCCAAATGATTCTGTTAACTCAGTTGGTGTAGAGGAATGTAATTTACTCTTCTTAATTATATATATATATATATAATATTAGAGAGAGAGAGAGAGGTGATTTAGATATAGAGAATGATTCAAACGAGAACACCTTCATTTTACGAGAACATCTTGTTACTATAAACAATCACATGTGTACTAAATTAAAAACGTGGACAACTTTTGGTGTGATTTAGGTTGCAAGTTAAGTCGTTCTTACATCACTACACCCCTCCCATGTGTTATCATGTGTGATAAATGTGTTCTTGATGTGATACTATAATCTATCAGGTATGATATTAAATCATAGATGCAAACAACCTTTGGCACGACCTAAGTCGCAGGACACCTTGTTCACACACCACCGGTTCCTCTCACGTGTGTTATCACATGTGATAAAAGTATTATTGTAAAATGGAGATGTTCTCGTCTGAACCTCTTCACATATATGTATATATAGGCGAATGATTGTTTGAAAATTTAGAGTTAAAGTGAGAAGCGTCAAAAGGGATCTCGATTTTGATCACCTTTAATCTCAAACTCACCTATGAATCACACTTGATACGAGGATTAATTTGGTGCATCTTATTTTAATGTGCATCCAAGCGTGGAGATCTCTTCTTATGCTTCTCACCTTAACTATTTTTCTCACCGAAACTCAACCCTATATATACTCTTGTAACCGAGTTAACTGGATTATTTGGATAGAGTTAAATTTAGGGACCCAGTGTGTTATTAAATGCAAACCACAAGGATAAAATCCATAAATATTTCAAAATATAAACCTAAAGTGTTAAAATACACAAACCATAAGGACCAAATCTGTAATTCACTCTTTTCTCTTTGAACCCACCCAACGAATTTTTGTTGACAAGCATCAAAGTCTCAACTCTTTTTTTTTATATTAACATAGATATCCAACCCGTTATGTGAGCCGATTAATCTCTGGACGACCACCTGCTTTGCAGAAAGCTCGGAGTCACCGCATTTGAACCTCCATGGCCACAAAGAGATTTTTATTTCTCCTTGGATTTAAACTTGGAACCTCATGGTACTTTTGACCTTTGGAGCCAAGCTCAAACCAATCAAACGCCACCCTTGTGGTTAGTCAACTCTTCTTTTACGGTTTCAATGCTATGAACAAATATAAAAGGGACCTGGATAATATTTGATTAATCTTTTTACATTTCTAATGCTATGATCTGATTATAATGCTATGATTTTTACAATTTTTAATGCTATGATCTGATGATATAAAATGGTACAAATAGTTTACCTCTTAATAGTTCCATTAAGAGGCAACCTCTAAATCATTAAGAGGTGTATCTTGTTTGATAAAAGAAAAGTCTGTCTCTTAATAATTCTAAAACTTTCTGAATGATTTTGTATCCTGGACGTCCCCCTTAACCATTCAATACCCTGATTTCCTTGTAAATAATTACCAAACAATTATGTTTCATTTTACACTGTATAGTAAGATCATCTTAATCATTCTGATCACTTAATAGATCTAATGACCAATTTCACAAACCCACCTTTCCTTTATCTTTCACTTACTGAACTAAAACCCCCAATCTTTTCCAACCTCTTTCGATCCATTTCATCTCTCAACTCTTTAACATCCTTCCACCTTCCCTCTCCGGCATAAATGTTTGATAACATCACGAATGGTGTCGAGCTTTCGGGATCCATCTCCGCAAGCAATCCCGCCATCTCTTCTCCCAGTTTCAAATCCGAATGAAATCTAGAGGCACCAAGCAACGAACCAAGAACCGAACCAGAAACTTCAGGCATTTTCGACAATAACTCCCTAGCTTCATTTATCCTCCCGGATCTACCCAATATATCGATCATACAACTGTAATGCAATGAATTTGGAACCAACCCGTAGCCTTTCATCGAGCTAAAAAAGCCCAAACCTTTCTCAACTTTACCACCGTGACTACAAACCGATAAAAGACAGTTAAAAGTAGAAGAATTTGGCTCTACATTCTCTCGTTTCATCCATTCGAACATTTCAAAAGCAGCTTCACTCTCACCATTTTGACCATACCCAGATATCATAGCATTCCAAATCACTGGCTTTTTCGGTTTTATCTCGAATTGATTAAAGACGGAAAGTGCCCACGAAGATCGACCACATTTCATGTACATATTAACGAGTGCAGTAGCAAGAAATTCGTCGTAATTGATACCAGTTCTAATAGAATGTCCATGGATTTCTTTTCCGGCCACCAATGTCGATAAAGATGCACAAGCTGATAGTAAACTAGTGATCGATTTCTTACCTGGGGTTTCTCCAAAAGACTGCATTTTTCTAAAGAACAAGAACGCTTCATTGGCTTTTCCAAGATGTGTGAACCCGCTGATCATTGAATTCCATGTTGCTGAATCCGGTTTAAGTCCATCGGATTCCAACATCATAAACAGACCGATAGCGTTTTCACTTTCACCGTTCATCATCATCCCAGATATCATTGAATTCCACGTTATCAAGCTCCTGAAACCACAGAGTTCGTGAAAGATATCGTAAGCCCAATGCCAATATCCACATTTTGAATACATATCCAAAAGCGCTGTTCCGACTAACACATCGAGTAGCAAATCAAGTTTAATTAGAAACCCATGAATCTGTCTGCCAAATTTCAGATTCTTGAGATCAGAACAGGCAGATAGAATGGTTACAAATGAGCCACTATTCGGGTTTTGGTTCGACCATCTTAGCATTTCCTTAAACACTTCAAATATCGGTTGATGAATTCGATTCTGCAATAAACCAGTAACAAATGCATTATAGCAAGCGACATTCTTATCACAGATTCGTTCGAAAACAATTGATGCAGTCACAGGATCCTTACAATTCGAGTACATTGTCACGAGCGATGTAGCTACATAAATGTCGGTTTCAACGCCAATCTTGATCGCCCAGCAATGAACCTGGAACCCATCTTTCACAGCATTGTTACAACCAGATAACAAGCTAGCAATCGTAGCCGAATCGGGTCTGAGTCCATACTCGCTAACTCGTCTAAAAACGTCCAAAGATTTCTCATAACATCCATTCTGGGAAAACCCAGATACAAGAACGTTGATTAACGTTGTATTTGGTTGAGATATTTCGTCGAACACCTTGAGGGCACTAGCTAATAACACAAACTTCATGTACATGTCTGTAAGGGATGTGGCTGTATATATATCTGAATTGAACCCAGTTTTGGTGAGATGGGCGTGAAGCATTTGGCCATGAGGAATTACTTTGAGCTTCGAGCATGCTTTAAGAAGGAAAGGGAAAGTGAATTCATTGAGTGGGTGCGACTGAAAATGGAGCTTTGAAAATAAAGACAGAGCTTCTGTGTAAAATCCTGTTCCTACTAACTTCGATAACTTTCTCCTCATTTGATTTGCCGAAACCCTAGCCTCAAATCGGACACTGAAATAAATTCAAGAGCCAAGAACAATATCAAATTCGATTCGATATACATGTGTGTAGTACGACTTGCGAGTGTATAGTTTAAATCTAGAGTAAGTTACAAACTTGGTCCCTAAACCCTTAGGGGTGTACATCGGTTGGATTGGACGGTTTAGAGTGAGCAAACTAAAAATCTGATCGGATTTCGAATATGAAAATCAAAATCGAATATTAGGTTTCGGATTTGATGGGTTTCGAGTTGATGTCGGTTAGGTTTGGATTAAGCTATAATGCAAATAATATATATTCAATCGATGTTGAGGATGAATTTAAATTGATAAAATCAGTAGTAAATATAGAAATTAAAAAACATTTTGACTGACTAGAATTTAGGATTTTCAAAAGATAACCTGATATATATATATATATATACATATATATATATACATATATATATATAATATTTAAATATATATGTTTGTATATTGAGGTTTTCGGATGTGTTAGGTTGCTAAAGATCAAACCAATCTGAACCAAATATTCCTCCAAAAGTAAGGTCTTGGATTTTCGAGTTCTGCACAAACACGTTATTTTTTATTTGAACTCAGGTTCGGATTTCGGATCATTCAGGTTTTGCATAACCCTACTGGGGTTAACGTTTTTTACCCACTCTAGTATCAAAATAAATACAAGGAGCAGACTTGTGGTTTATATTTTTGCATATTCTGAATCCATACCACTAACGAAATCAAATAAATTTTGTTAACGAAGTTAAATAAGGAGGTATTTTAGTTTTTCTTCACTTTTTTTTTGTCTTTATTCTGTTTTTGTATGTGTATATATATATACACACATACCTTCACATATGTGTGTGTATCTATATATTTTATTTATATGAAATACACACACATAGAGACGCCCCCACCCCCATTTAAGGTGAAAACTCAATCTCTGACAACTTCTATCCCGAATGATAAAACCAATCATTTTTTGAGACAAAAACCTCCCCCTCCCTTTTTGGTTCCAAGACAACTCCCGGCCTTTTCGAGCCCTAATCCTTGATGGCTTTTTGAAGCAGGAGATGGAAGGTTGTGGGAACAGAGAACAGTGGTGTAAAGAAAGACGAAAGCAGTGGGGGCGGTGGTTACTAAGAAACTCACATTATATATTCACGTAGGTTTTATCAACAATGATCGAAAGCAATGGTGGAGGGGAAGGGGGTTGTTCATGTTATGGTTAAGAAGGAAGGGAGGGAGGGAGAGAGAGAGAGAGAGAGGGGATCACGTAGCCAGAAAAAGTGAGTTTGTGGGTGGTTACAATGGTGTTTGTGATAAGGACATAAGGTGGCTCTCTGACGAGTAGTGAAAAAGGGGTCTCCATGGCAGTGTTGGGGATTTAAAGGAGAGAGGAAGAATATAATATGATGAATCAATGCCCCCGGACACCGTAGACGATGATCGACACTAGTAAGTACGCCGAAGATGATAATCGGTGCTAGGGGTGAACCGAGTGGTAGGTTGGGTGGGGTGTAATAGATACAAAACGACAAAAAATGTATTAATATGTCGAATAAGAAAGAGACAAATGTAAAAAGATAAAAACAACCCATTTATCGAGAACTATGAGGCCATTTACCAAATACTTATTTGAGTAAGCGTTTATCAAGTCATGTTGCATTACCGGATGAATATGACAATGATCAAGATCTTATCTAATAAGAACGAAAACAAAGATCGAAAATCTTACCCAATAAATAAGGATGATGATTCTAAATTAATTTTTTACTGTTTTTTTTTGCCATCCCTACTGTGGACCCCTCTTTTTCTCCCCATCCACTTCCACTCATTACTCCCCTTTCTAGATTCGCTCTGATCTATAAATTATTATCATTACAATAATATTCACACCAGACGGCAGCAGATACGTAGCAACACGCCTTCTACCAACCGTCCTGAGTCCGGTGGTCGATGGGTACCGCCATGGAATTTTCTCTTAATAATTGACGGTCACTTTGCCTTCATCCTTGCTAGTTATCTGATCTGATTGAACTTCTTGATCGTCCGACCGGGATCCATAGAAGGTTGGAGTTCAGAGTTTGCTTTCGAAGGGTAAGTAACTGCTCACGATTTGTGTCTTGCGAAGCTTTTGAAACTTCATGTTGCTTTCTGTAGTTTAGCTTTAGGATTCACAATTGTTGTAGTAATCAAAGGATGTGTTGATTTGATTGAGTGATTGTGTGGATGAAACGCCTAATTCTAGGTTTAGAAGCAACCTAATCATGGATCTAGTGTTTAAACCTGCATATTAGGGTTTTTCTTTATGATTTAAATCTGCATACTACTAATTGCTTCATTTAGATTCGTGAGCTGGTTCAAAAGTCGTGGGATACCGATAACTTTCACCATGTTTTAAGATGATTTTGAGGTTATAGGGTCCGTTTGATGTTGCTTTGGACTATAGGGTGTTAGAAATTGGCATCAGAGGTTGATCATGAACCATCTGATTTGGAGAAAAGGAGGGGTGGGGTCATACAACTAATTGCATAACACTGTTGAGTGTAACAATCCGACCTATATATGGATATAAAATTAGATTTGCAAGGTCCTATAAGTTCAAAGTTGTGGGCTACCAATAACTTCTACCATAATTTTAAGATGATTTAAAGGTTATAGGGTCCGTTTGATGTTCTTTTGGACTACAGGGTGTTACAAATGATATCAGAGTTGATCATGTACAATCTGATTTGGATTTGGGGGGGGGGGGAGGGGGGGTCATACTACTAATTGTATAATATTGTTATGTGTGACAACCGGTCCCATATAGATAGGAAATTAGATTTACGAGCTTTTATGAGTTCGATGTTATGGACTACCAATAACTTACACCATGGTTTTAAGATGATTTGGAGTTCATAGGGTTGGTCTGCGGCTGTTTTGGACTATGTAACGTTACAAATGTTGTTAGAGTTGATCATGTACCATCTGATTTGGATTTTTTTGGGGGAGGAGGGGGATGTTTAATACTACTAATGGCATAATGTTGTTAACTTGTTATGTGCAACAACCACATCTCATGTGGATAGAAAATTAGATTTGTGCACTCCTTATAAGTTCAAAGTTGTGGGCCACCAATAACTTCCACCATGGTTTTAAGATGGTTTTGGAGGTCATAGGGTCAGTCTGCTGCTGCTTTGGACCTGGGGTGTTCCAAATGGTATCGCAGTTGATCATGTACCATCTGATTTGGAGAAAGAGGAGGGGGCATAGTACTAATTGCCTAATGTTGTCATGTGTAATAACTCGTCCCATATGCATAAAAAGCTCCTTACAAGTTCAAAGTTGTGTACTACCACCATGATCTTACGATGATTTGGAGGTTATAGGGTCAGTTTGCTATCGCTTTGGACTGTGGGGCATTACATATGGTATCAGAGTTGATCTGTACCATCTAATTTGGAGGGAGGGAGGGAGGGGGTCATACTACTTGCATAATGTTGTTATGTGTAACAACCCGTCCTAGATGGATAGAAAATTAGATTTGTGAGCTCCTTATAAGTTCAAAGTTATGGGCTACCAATAACTTCCACCATGGTTTGTAAGATGATTTGGAGGTTATAGTTCCAGTCTGCTACTATTGGATGTTACAAATGGTATCAGAGTCGATCCTATCATTTGGATGGCTAGGCAAACCTTATTGAGCCTAACATCGTGCCTTGTTCCTCCTTATGATTTATGCAGGCGAGTGCAATGTCAACTGCTGCACGAAAGAGGCTGATGAGGGATTTCAAGAGGTTACAGCAAGACCCTCCTGCCGGCATTAGCGGAGCACCTGAAGACAATAATATAATGATGTGGAATGCTGTGATATTTGGGTAATTCATACAAAAATGAAATGAAAAACGTTCAAATTCTTTATTTCAAGATTGGTATCATCCCGTCCTCTTTGCTTTCTGTACTTATATAAAACACATATTGTATAAAAAATGTGATATGGTTTCCGTTTTTCATTGCAGTCCGGATGACACTCCATGGGATGGAGGTAAATTCACATTATGTTTGTGTGGTGTTTCTTAATCTTTCGGTTTATTTTTTAATTTTTTTTTTCTGTGAACTGATCATTGAACGTATCAGGTACGTTTAAAATGGCGCTACATTTTTCGGAGGAGTATCCAAATAAGCCACCGGTGGTGCGGTTTGTTTCTCGTATGTTCCACCCGAACAGTAAGTATTATAATATATATGCAATACAGAACTTCAATAATGGCTTTCTTAAATATAGAAGATATCCATCTAAATATATGTGCTGTTACCTGCAGTTTATGCTGATGGAAGCATCTGTTTGGACATTTTACAAAATCAATGGAGTCCTATCTATGATGTTGCTGCTATTCTAACCTCCATCCAGGTAATTGTTTCACAAAACCAACGTTGTAGTCGTGTCAATAGAAAGATGATTGTCAATTGTTAAATTGATATATATATATATATATATATATATATATATATAGGGAAGGGTTCAAACAAGAACAACTTCATTTTACGAGACGCGAGAACACCCTTTTACTATAGTCAATCACATATGATACTTCCATCACATATTATACATATGTGATACTAAATTAGAGACACGGACGACTTTTGGTGCGACCTAGATTGCGGGCCAAGTCGCCCGTACACCATAGATCGCCTCATGTGTATTATCACATGTGAGAAAGGGTGTTCTTGATGTGATACTGTACTTCATCACATCTGACAACCTAGGTCGCAGAGCATGTCGTCTGCATACCACCAGGCCCCCCTTTATGTGTATTATCACATGTGATAAGGGTATTCTCGTGTTTTTATAAAATGGAGGTGTTATTGTTTGAACTTCCACCTATATATATATATATATATATATATATAGGGGCTCAAGAAAGAACTAACTAGTTTGTGGTAACCGTGAGTTACAATCTCAACCACAAATCAATAGATAAATTAGGAAATTTATAATTTTGGTAATTTTGAATTAAAATTTTAATGCAAGGACATTTTAGGTATTTTCTCTCCTCTCTCCTCTCTCCTCTCTTCTCTTTCCGGCCTCTGGCCACCATCCTCCGGCCTCTGGCCACCGTCCTCCGGTGATACCACTGTGATACCTAAAAGTATTGACTCTGTTAAACAAAAGACACAGTGTGATACCCAAACATATATAAGATGCATTGTGATACCACTGTGTTACATCTCCGATCGACCACACAAACGACCTCAGTGTGATACCCAAGCACATATACGATGCATTGTGATATCATTGTGGTATCACCGGAGGACAGTGGCCGGAGGACGGGGAGAGAAGAGAGGAGAGTTTTAAAATACCTAAAATGTCTTTGCATTAAAATTTTAATTCAAAATTACCAAAATTATGAACTTCCTAATTTATCTATTGATTTGTGGTTGAGATTGGATCTCACGGTTACCACAAATTAATTAGTTGTCATTTGATTAGGCCCCTATATATATGTATATATCTTATCTATACTATATTATAAAGCATTTGACAGAAACTCTTAAAAACCATTTTTTATGCGAAAGTACCGTTTATTAATGCATATTACTTAAAATTGCAAGTAGATTGTGCATAAGTACAACTTATTAAAGCTCCATATATGAATTCGTGTAACTAACTCCAAATAAACATAATCAAATACAGGATAAACATCTCATTTTAAATATAAAAAATCTAAAATATAATTAGGATAATCATTGAGTTCTAACAGAATACTTAATTATTATCTTTATAATTTTGTTATATTATTAAGCCAAAAATAGATTATTTCATTATTAAACTTAAATTAAATTATAATAAAAAATAAATTAAGAAATTACATAAAAAATGAAAACTTTTAAATAGTTGATTTGATATTAACACTGATATATTTTTTTTTTCAAATTTATATTTTATTCAAAAATAAATCATTATTGTTTTTTTAAAAACACATAAAATTGTACTATAACATCGACAGAGACAAATAATAAAATAGAACACTAAAATCGAGATGTGTCTCGCTACATTGCGCGAGTACTCTTCTAGTATATAAGAGAGAGAGAGGTTCAGGGGAAAACCCTCCAAAAAAAACGAAAAACCGAGAAACACCCTAATAACCATTCATTTGGATGGTATGCATATTTGCATACAAGTAATTGAGGATGTTTCCTAGTTTCTATGCACGTATGCAGGCGAATGGTTATTAGAGCGTTCATCATTTTTTCATTTATTTGCGGTTTTCTCCTAAAGGTGACCCTATATATATATATAATATACTTGGGATCATGTGAATTTTATTTTTTTGAGAACCATGAGCCCCCCTCATAGCCTGCGGATGAGTTTTGTTGCTTGATCCAATGCTTCACACAAAAAAAGGATGGCAAGACCGTAAAATAAACGGAACTTTGATGGCAGTGATGTAGGTGGATACGGAGCTTAAGATACCTCACATATCTTAACACGGAGTTGTTAACATACTAACATAAATAAACACATAGGGTGTGTTCGGTTGGGGGGTATTAGAAGGTAATGACTGGAAATAATAATAATTGATTATGTTTGATTCAATTAAGGAATGAAAATGGAATGAACAAAGATGTTTGGTTTCAAAAAATTAATCAATCATTATAATAGATTTGGTTAAAAATCATTCCTCCTCAATTTGGGGGGAATATGAACTTTTTTCTTTTAATTCTGCCTCTCACTCCTTCTCGTCTACCAATACGTTCATTGGAAAGATGATATGATGCAATGGATTAGGTGGCTATCAAGTTTTTTTTGTTTTATAATTAATTAATTCTAAGGAATCCCTAATATTATAATAGAATGGAATGAAAACAATGATTACCATTCTACCCTATTTTAATTACGAGTCCCATCTTCATTTCTTAAAGCGAACCAAACACCCCCTGAACCTTAACATGAAAACACCGAACCTGTGACATAAAAACACTGAACTTACCTTAACATAAAAACTAACATCTTAACATGTTAAGGTATGTTAAGATGCCCAAATGCAGAAAACCAAAGACCGAAATGCCCCCTCCTTCACAAGAAAGATGCACGCTCCACTTCATTAGATCAAACGCCATCGCACCTAATTCCATCCATAAATCGATTTGATTCCCTATGAGTTCTAGTTGAAAGTGATCGACGGCCGTGAAGTGGTTCTCACGGAAAGGGGGAGTTCTCACCAGAAACCCATTTTTCTGGTGAGAACTCCCACTTTCCGTAAGAATCACTTCATGGCCCTTGCTCATTTTTTTTTTCTTTTGCGTTTGATCGAACAACGCTGCTTGCACATCCTTCTTGTGAAGTAGGGGCACTATGGTCTTATGTTTTTCCACGGGACATCTTGTTTAGTTGATGTTTATATGGTCTGATGAATGTTGTGTTTTTTAACTCTGGTAGTCATTGCTGTGTGACCCAAACCCAAATTCGCCTGCGAATTCAGAAGCTGCACGGATGTTTAGCGAGATGAAACGTGAGTACAATAGGAGAGTACGGGAGGTTGTTGAACAGAGCTGGACCGCCGACTAAACAATTCTTGAAGTCGTCGTTCGCGTGAGTCTTTATCCCGGATTCTTTGCAAAAAAACACTTTCGGATTTCTGATAGAACTCATTGCCTATTTTATGCGTGTCTTGGTTGGTTTGCATTCTTCAACAATGAATGATTCAGATACTTATTGGATTTCTGTCAGTCAGCATCATCTGTGTCTTTTTAAGGGGACGTTTACCTGGTAAGTGCTTACGGGTAAGAGTCAACACTTTTACGTAACGGGTAGGATTTTAGTCCATTAAACGGCATTGTCGGCAACATTTTATTTAGTAAGCGCTTACCTGGCAAGAGTTGTTACTCTCACTTACCAGGTCTAAAGACTCTCGGTCCTTGTCATTGCTCTTACAGGGTAAGATTTTCAATGTTTGTCATGTTTATCCGATAAAGTAAAATGACCCGGTAAACACTTGTTGGGTAAGCGTTTGGTAAACGACCCATAAGTTGCATCTTTTGGATGGCCCATAAATTATGTTTTTGGATGGCAAGCATGATAGTCCTTTTTTGAGATTGGGAAACAGGTTAACCGATCGGTTTCTGGACCAGTCCCAACATCCCACAACCCTGAACCGGTCTATGTACTTGGTTCTCGTTGGACTGGTCTTCTTACGAAATTGCATAATAATTGGTTTACGTCAACCGGTCTGACCTAAATTGGTTTCAAACCGTGCAGTAACCTATGCCAAATGACCATCTCTAGTCCTTGTTACACGTATTTTGATGGGTATCACATTTCTGAACTAAACCAAACGTGACTGGTATAATCTTATTTGGTATGGAGTTTAAAAGATACGATGTACTTAGACTTTCCTTCTACCAACTGTTTTTTAAAAAACCCCAAATTCCTTGGTTATTAATATCAAAGTAAGATTTAGGAGAAAACCTCTTTAAAGATGAAAAACTGAGGAACATCCTCGTCAATGGCAGACCTAGGAATTTCTGTGAGTGGTTGCACCTTTAAGGTGGGTTTGCAAAATAGCGTTGAGAATGAAAAAAGTACCATGAAAAAAGAAAATCAAAGGGATGGGCTTCGGTAAAAAAGGTATGGAGAGTTCTCCATTTTTGGATCAATCTTAATTGAAGATCAACATTGATGAAATGCACCAGACTGATTCTCGTGAGAAGCGCAATTCATAGGATCGCGGTGAGATTAAAAGTGATCAAGGGTCTAAAATCAAAATGGCATGGTGGAACGTCTCTAATTATATATATGAGGTTATGAGTTTAATTCTTGTAACTATATTTTTTCTATTAATATTTTCAGAAATAACATCGTGTGGCTTGAGTTAATGATTTGGGTAGTTCTTGCAGTTGCATTCTAAAATTAAAAGAGAAAAAACATAAATTTTGCTTAAAATAAGATTAGAATCCATGACCTAATCCAACCATTTCACCATGGTTAATTTCGGTTATAAAGTTGGTTTCAATTTAACGACACCCCTAAGAATCAAGCGGGTGTAACTCTTAAAGACATCAATTTTTCTCTTCCAATAATCGAATGAACGGGTGTAAAGGACCCTGCTCCCCTTTTAGTAGGTATGCCCCTGACCTTTATGTAAGTAACTGAAGGTATTTCTTCGTTTTAATGGATATGTGCATGTTAAACACATGTATATATGAATGGTTACTATGATGTTCTTTAGTTTTTCATTTTTTATTTTTTCTTAAATATAAGTACCTCATCCTATACAATTTATAATACAACACCATTCCTAATCCAACTCTTTTAATTTTTGAAATAAAATACATATATGAAAATAGGGAAATTAATATAAATAGTCATTTTCAAAAACGAAATTCATCTTCTTACTATTTCTTTCCATGAAATACCAAAAAGTCATTACTTCCACAATAGGCACCCTCGTCGACTGCAAAGGAGCTAGAAGACAAAATAACCAATTTTCACTAAAATCCGCAAGCAGCACTTTTGCAAGTTGAGAACCATATTCAGAAATTTACAGATTTCTTTTTCTACATTTTGACTCCTCCACAAGTTAACGGTTGCTAATTAGTTACTTTCTAACAGTTTTAGAAATTAAATAATTAAAAAATAAATATATAAAGTTAAAATGATTATTTTAATTAATTTTTTTACGAAAATATTAATGGTGCAGATTGCACTTTGATATTGTACTTGATGGCCCACGCAATAATAATATGAATGGTACACGTGTTTGTTTTGTCTCGATATCTAATTTCATGTGTGATGTGATACCGTGGTCCCATGCTATTAATTACCAAACTCGTCCCCACACATTAACTGTAAAGTTTCAATGGAATACGACTCGATAGTCGATACTCATATAATCCTACAACATTTATTATACGTTTTAATTTATCTGTAAAGTTTCGCGGTTTGACATAAAATTATTAAGTGATTAAAATGATTAAAATGCTCTTTTGATATAATACAAAATGAAATATAGTTGTTTGGTAATCGTTTACAATGAAATTAGAGTATTGAATGGTTAATGGAAGCCCAAGATACAAAATCATTCAGAGGGTTTTAGAACTATTAAAATGCAGACTTTTTTTTTCTGCCAAACAAGATTCATCTCTTAACGATTCAAAGACTGTCTCTTAATAAAAACTATTAAGAGGTAAACAAACAACTCCTTAATTTGTTTCCTTATGATCTTTTTGAAAAAACATATTATATAAAATAAATAATATATATATATATATATATATATATATATATATACTTTTAATGAAATTTGAACCTTTAGCGTACTAAAAGGTGACACTATTCCGGGACCAGTAAAACGGATACTGCTGGACAATAACACTTGGAGCCATCAATGCTATGTTACTCCTTTCTTGGCACAATGCTACTCGTCGAAGCACGTTTAACTACAAAATTCTGATTGAATCTAACGCATCGTAACTTTAAATATCGATAAATATTATTATAAATTTAAAAAAAAAATCTTTATTCCATGCCCAAATCCCTACAAAATATACCAAAACCAGATCCATCATCACAAGAAAAGAAAGTGAACATCTTTACAATTTTGTACTCAGGTTGCCACTGCTATTCCAACCTTCTTGAACTTGAACAGAATACTGCATGTTCCAAAGAACGTCTTCGATCGATGGACGCACGTTCACGTCTTCGTTAAGACAACTGATCGCTATTTGAACAGCGGTTTTCATGGATTCGTAAGCAAACGTTCCTCTGATCGACGAATCCGCTACTTCTTTGAGTCTTGTTGGCGATTCCATTAACCCAATCTCTAGCTGAAAACTCGAAAAACCCACTTGAAATTAGTTGAGTTACGCCGTTTTTAGTGAGAAAGAGCAATCAAGATAAGATCTTGGCCGTGAATTACCTGGTTCTTGAGTTCGATTATCTCATCCTCTGAGTTGACCGGTTTTCCTGTAATGAGTTGTAGGATTATGACTCCGAATTGATATATATCGTCTTTTTCTGGATTCGTCGGCCTGAAAAATCAGTAATTACGTGTTGGAATGGATCGAATATTCAATATTTACAAATATACAATCCGGGAAACGTACCTGTGAGGAACCTGGGAAGCGTCGTGGCTGTTTAGAGGGCTTTCCGAACCTGCCTGCTGACGAAAAATTTGAGGTTAGATCATGTGATGAATCAAGAATAAAGAGGTACGAGCATCAGAGCAGTTTTTTAGCATGTTAAATGTGTAATTTTGAAGAGGGCCCCAAAATTTTTACATTGTTTAGGGCCTTTCATGAATGAATGTAAAACCATGTTTGGATTAATCCCAGTAAATTGTGACCGCAAGAAATCAGCACTGATAAACTCAGTGGCCACAATTGTTATGTATGTCTGGAATCGAACCCTGGGCAGATTGGATATTCTACCATATCTCCCAGGAAGGTCATTCATGGAAACAACCGCTCTACTTTTTGTGGGTGGATGTCAGGTCTCCATACATCTTACCTTCCGCAGACCCCACGTCAGATGGGAAATACTGGTTTCGTTTGGTTTTTTTAAGTTTCAAGTACTTACTTTTGATGGTAACGAAATGTTGTAACTACTGATTTTGGCAGTAAGATTATCATCCAATAATACAGTCTCGATCTTTAAATCATTCCCGAAAATCCCATGTTGAGTTCCGGTGTGCAAGAATTGAATCCCTCTTGCAATTCCCATTGTGATCCCCATTCTGTGTGGCCATTTCAAGATTTCTTTCTTTCTCCAATCTGTCAAAAACCCAAAAAAGGTTAAATGGTTCGGTCGGAGCATGTGGGACCCCATCAAATTACTCTTAAATTTGTCCAAAACCCAAAAAGGTTAAATGGTTCAATCAAAATATGGGGGACTCCATCAGATTACTCTCCAAAAAAGCCCGAGGAAAGAACGGAGGTTCTAACATATAGAGTAAATTACGTTTTTCGTCTATGTGGTTTGTTAAATTGTGATTTTTGTCCCTATGGTTTAGAAATTGAGGTTTTCATCCCTATGATTTGTAATTCATTTCTATTTTCATCCTTATGTTTAACAATTTATTGTCGTATCGGTCCCTGTGGTTTACAATTATTTGCTATTCTGGTCTTAAAAGGTAGGAAGTGATCCAGAGACGAAAAAAACAATAAATTGCAAAACATGGGATGAAAATTGCAATTTCTAAACCACATGGACTAAAATCGAAATTATTAACGTATAGAGGAAAACAGGTTCCCATATATATATAGACTTAGGATCATGTGAGATCCGTGAGACCAATTCTCAACCCTTGGATTAGATCTATAATTTGACAATCTAAAAATTTATAAACGCCACGAGATTTCTCAATAATCACAAAATTGCCACCGTATAATTTAGACCGTTAGATCATTAACTTATAAAGTTGATCAATGAACATAAATTGGTCTTACAGGTCTCATGAAAAACCTTTGGTCTCATGTGAACCCAACCATATATATATATATATATATATATAAACATTAAAGAGTTATTTTATAGAACCAAACAATAAAGTACCATATCTAAATGTGTTGTAATATGTTCATAGAATGTGTTTTGGAGTCTTAATAAATTTTTTAGGACATCCTTAAAATAAAACGTCGTATAAGCTAATTTATAAGACACTGATGAGAAGTGTCTTATAAGCACATCTTTTTATAGGACACTTGTTTTTATACACATGTTTTCAAATAGTGTCCTAAAAAATAGCTAATACGAGTTTTACTATAAAAATGTCCTAAAAAAACTTGTTACAACACTTTTGTTTTATTTTAAAAATGTCCTAATAGAAATTGAATTGTAGTGGATGTCCTAAACGCGTTCTATAAACTTAATACAACATTTTTAGAAACGATGTTTTATCGTTATAAAGCAGTCTATTGGTTCATTTAGACATTTTTGGCGTCCTATGAACCCAATTTTGTTGTAGTTATAGTTGATGTGGGACTCTAACAGTTATACCTGTAAGATGATCTCTCAACGATCCGTTTGAAACATTTTCAAGAACAACAAAGACGGTGCTGCCCGAGTTGGGATGATCCATGTACGAGACGATGCAATGACCAAGAACGCTCACGAGATGTCGGTGCCGGAGCTTCGAGATCACTTCCATATGTTGTTGCACGGTTTGTGTCGAATGCTTTTGTTTTAACTTCAAACATTTGATCAACACCATTGAACCATCCCTCAACCACCCTTTGTAAAGCTGCAATCGGTGAAATTTATATAAATTATGGAAAAAAATATAACGAATATGATCAGATCGGATCGGATCGGATCGGATCAAAAGAATATCGAAATTCGGTTGTTTACTTGTGCTTGAGATCCTTCCCCCACCAAATTCGAAGAATCAAAGTTGTTTGTTGCATCTTCGATTTCTTCGAGTGTGAATATCGTATATGGCGGTAGGCCTAGTGCGGCGGTCCTCATCGTTTGTGGTCTACGCCCTGTGGAACATGCGGTTATGGAGATATAGACACGTAGAAAGTCGACACGTGGAAAATAAAACATGTTGAAAGTGAGAGCATATGCTCGGTTCGTGAAAAGCTAGTTGTTGGCTGACAGGTTAGTTGTTGGCAGATAAGTTGGTTGTTAGCTGAAAAAGTTAGTTGTTAGCTGAGAAACAGTTGTTAGGTGATATAGCTGATAAGTTGACTGTTGGTGATAACTAATTTAGTCACATTTGGTAAAAACAAGCTGACTGATAACTAACCTAGTCACGTTTGGTAAAAACAAGTCGATAAGCTAGATGACGATGTAAAATGTTGTAAAAGAACATGTTGAAAATTTGCTAAATCCTAATATAAAGGGCATAATTGGAAAATTTGGAAAAAAAAACCCCGAGCTCGTAAAAACTAGAGAAAGGTACATTTTTAGTCCCTGTGGTTTGTTAAAAATTGCGATTTTTGTCCTTATGACTTATAATTTATTGTTGTTTCGGTCCCTATGGTTTACAATCTTATTACTTGTACTTTAAAGATAGGAATTAGTCCAAGGATGAAAATGACAATAAACTCTAAATCACATAGACGAAAATCACAATATCTAAATCATAGGTATGAAAATTGAAATTATTAACAAACCATAGGGACAAAAATCGTAATTTACTCTAAAAACTATCAGTTAGAAAATTACTTGATTCTAAAGCAAGGGCATAACGGGAAAAAAGTGAAAAAAGTCCCAAGGAGCTTATTAAAAAACCATTCAAAGTAGTTTTTTAATAAGCTAACTTATGGCTTACGAAACGAGACTTTTTGAATAAGCTTAAAAATTAGCTTGTGTCTAAGACATTTAACAAGCCAATATAACATATCTAGTCTGCACTCATGCAGTCTAGACCAAATCGAACCAAACAAACCCAGTATATCTCACTCGGGTAGCAGAGAACTATCAAAATAATCAAAGAAAGAGTTATACCAGCATTGGCCATCGAAGAAGGAGCACGAACAGCGTTATTATCGAACGCAAAGCTATCCGATTTGAATTGTTTCGTCCTTTTCGCTTGTCGTCTTCTATAAACACCCAAAATCAACAACCCTATCAAACCTGCAATTCCCACAATACCCCCAATGATACCAAGAACAAGCCCAAGCTTCAAAGTGGTCTCCTCTTTCTTATGTTCACCATTTCTCTTTGTAGGCAAAACTGCAATTGCTTCTTTCTGGCAAAACTTGTGAGGGTGTTGATACTTTGAGGTTGTATTTGTTAAGCAATTCCACAAGCTAATAACCGTCCGATTCGCAAGATTCGATCCGATACAAGATGGTAATCTCCCAATCAAAAGATTATTAGAAAGATCCACAAATCTTAGCTTGGTGGTACAGGATAAGTTTGTGGGCATTGCTCCACTGAATTGATTGTTGGCTAAGTTGAGATACTCGATTGAAGAGAGTGAGAACAAAGAAGAAGGGATGGGACCCACAAGTTTATTTGATGAGATATCGAGTCTTTGAAGATGAACAAATTTGACAAAATCAGATGGGATTTGAACCCTAATTGAATTATTCTTCAATGTGATCGACACAAGATTGTAACTTAGAGAAGGGTATTTTGGTCCTAAAAGATTACTACCCAAATCAAGAACTTCAAGATTCTGCAACCATTTAAGATCAGGAACACTTCCATTCAACAAGTTTTTGGAGAAATCAAGAACGGTGAGGTTCTTGATTGAAGAAATGGAAGATGGAATATCGCCATTAATGGAGTTTGAGCTAAAGTTCATGACTTGAAGGGACCAAAACCTATCAATTTTAGGCGGTAGTGGACCCCACAACCCCAAGGACACAAGTGTCAATTTCTTCAAACTAGAAAGCTTTGTGACCACAGTGAAGAATGAATCAATGGAGAAATTTGCAGAAAGTGCAGATTTTGTCTTGTTTCCAATAATAGTTAATTCAGTGATGCGATTACCTTCACAAACTATTACAAGATTGGGGTTTGAAGGAAGATAGCAGAAATCTGTCCATTTACTCCATTGTTGAAGAACTGGTGGGTATTCAAGCTTTTGTTGAGCTTGAAACAGGGTTCTTGAATCGGCTGGATTCAATTGGGAATTGGAAGATTGAAGTAAAAAGAGTGAAAAGAAAGCTAGAAAGATGAAATTACTTGATACCCAGATGGAATAATCCTCCATTTTTGCTGAATCAAAGCTTAAAACTCCATGGATCTCGTTCTAAACACCTTTGACCCGACCCGACCCGACCCGACCCTGTTCTTGATGGAAGTGCAAAAATGGTGTTTTTGGAGATGGGTTACAGAAAAAAGGTGAATTAAGAGGAGGGTTTTTGAAAAGATGGAGACTTTTTGCATGAAATATTGAGAAGGAAATGATTGAAAAGAAAAGGATTTTAAGGAGAATGATGAAGATGTAGTGTTGGAGATTCTAAAGCCAACATGGCTTGTTTTAAAGTCTATCTGTATTTTGCTATAATTTAAGAATGATAAAAACAGATTATATTCCATTGGTTCAGAAAATAAAATTAAAATAAAAATTAAAATTAAAATGATAATTTATTTTTATTTATTTATTCTGGAAAATATTCTTTTTACATAATTTTAGTGGGTGTGTTTGATTCTTTGATAACATAATTATTGTAAAAAAACTTGTAAAGCCATCAATTTTGATAATTTATTGATAAAAAGACAAATATAAGGATATTTTTTATAAAATTACGGTGGTCTGTTGGTTAGTTTATTATTTTTTATTGTATTTTTTTCAAAAACATGATAAATCTAAAATTAAAAGCTAAAAACTAAAAAAATGACACATATGGGGTATAAACTCGGGTTTGGGGTGGAAAAAAAATCTTGCAAACCAACTCTACCAAGGAAAACTTGTGTTATCATTGTAGTTTCAATTTCAAAGTATATATGATGTCACACGATAAATTAATATGATGGTACTTTTCACGACCTTAAATTTTTTTACACTATGAGGTGGCATGCACCATCGTATGCTCTATATTGGGTTCGTCCACGGTGGAAATATACCATCTATCTTATACTTGAACTCAAGTGTTGTCAAAACCCTTATGGCTATGGAGATTCATATGTGATGACTGATGACTCCGGCTTCCAGGTTATTCATGGTCACCCTAAGAACTAGTCAATAGATGTAAGCTGACTTAAAAACATACGGTTACCTAATTTAATGAGACGATAAAAGTTTTATTAAATTTCAAAAATCACATAAATTCATTTAAAATTCAATTATTTGATGGGAGTAGTTTGTATTAGAAATTGGAAAATATGTCATTCTTCAATTATTTAATAGCAAGAAAAAAGTTTCAATTTTCTAGAAAAGGGAGCTTTTTTTGCTTACTTATATGAATATATAATTTACTTTTTAAAAATATATAATATAAATGATTAAAAAACTAATTTATATTAATTAATCTAAAAAATGGTTTTCTTAACATGCAAAAATAAAATATTAATACATAACACATAATTTAAGATAAATTGCATAAAAAATAACGTACTTTTACTTGATTTTTACTTTAAGTTACATACTTTTATTTTGCTACCTAAGATGTAAGTTTTAAACATTTAAGTACCCGGGTACGGTTGAAGTATTAACCGATTATAATGTTGATGTGTCAAGTGATATGGTATCCAACTTAGTATTATTTGCTGACGTGATTAGTGATATAGATTTTTTTAATCTAAAATAACTCTTCAACCGGTTATTCAGGTACTTAAAACTTTATATCTTAAGTACCAAAATGAAAGTTTAAAAAGTATGCTAACCAAAATAGGAATCGAGTTAAAGTACGTTATTATTTCATACAATTTGTCCTATTTTTTACTGAAGTGAAAATATGTATCGCTTAAATAAATGTTTGTTTTCACCATTATTAACATAATACAAGTCATTAATAAATCAGTATTAATATAAATATTTTTTTAGCAAATTAGGTAATAAGTAAAACATTATTTTTTAATAAAAAATAAATTACTTGTAGAAATATTAATTTTTATAAAAGAAATAAAAAATACTTATTTAATTGAATAAAAAAAACCCTTATTATAAGATGGACATGTTATTTTGGTACAACTAGTTGCAGAAGCATTCATCGTCTACCCAAGTACAAGATCTGCAATTAATACTTTATTCCTATTTTTCTACATTCATTTTTTTTTGGATTATTCTAAATTAATACTTTCTTTCTTATTTCATATAATTTAATAATAAAATATTAGCAAATTGCATAAAAAAATAACGTACCATAATTTGATTTTTATTTTAGATAACCAATTTCCCAAACTTTCATTTTGGTACAAAAAATGCAAAGTTTTTAAGATTTAAATATCTGGGTAACCGTTGAAGCATTAACCGGTTACCATGTTGATGTGGTATCCAGTTAATGCTTCATCAAATAATACTGAGTTGGATACCACATCAATTGCCACATCAACATAGTAACCGGTTAATGTTTCAACTGGTTATCCGGGTACTTAAATGTTTAAAATTTTATATTTTAGGTACCAAAATGAAAGTTTTTATAAGTACGTTACCTAAAATAAGAATCAAGTTAAAGTATGTTACTTTTTCATGTAATTTTCCCTTTATCATTTTCTTGAAAGATTAACACAAGTTAAAGTACATTATATTTTCATGCAATTTGGCATTTATTATATTCAATATTACATGATGTACTTATTTTAAGAGTATCTCCAATGCAAGATTCTTATGAGCAAAAAGTGAAGTAACTTGTAAGAACTATCATTGCAGATAATTCTTATAAATACCTCATCTTCTCTAGGTTATTATACAAGAAAATGGTTCTTACCATGAAGTTTGTATGAAGTGACAATTTTCTATTTTTTTTTCCTTTCTATTTTCTTGACTTTATAATTATTAATATATATATTAAATATATAATTACTGATGTTGAAAAAATACACGAAACCCATAAAAATGAGGTTTTTATAAGAACTACCATTATGGAGATTTATATAAGTTCTTAATTTAATGAGTTGAAAGTGATCTAACAAAAAGTACAAAAAAATTGATTCTTACAAGAACCTCCATTAAAAATGTTATTAATAAAATATCATGATTTAAAGAGTTAGGTGAGTTTGTTTTTAAGAAGTGATGAAGTATGATTTCACTTGTGATTTATAAGAGGTGGTACTGAAAAAATTGTTTGTTTTAAATCTGAAGTCTGAAATTTGAATCGACCAAACTAAGTGCAAAGTTATAAAAGATAAATAGTTTTCGCTAAAAAATCACTTCCAATCCCCAAAATATAAATCATTTGATAGAGAACGAATTAAGATTAAGTTGTATTAAGAGATACATTTACCACTTAAAATTTTGGAAGACATTTAAAGATTTTAAAGCTTTTATTTAAATAAAAAAACGCTCTTTGTACTCAAACATCTAAACAAATCAGATTTCAAAGGTATTAAAAAATAATTTTAAGAAAATAAACAAACCGTTATTAAATAATTTACTGCATATCAAATGACAATTATATTTGTTAAGAAAATTAAAAAAATATATATTTGCAAATTGGGAAGTGTCATATGTAAAAAGTCAACACGTTAAACTCTCGGAGAGCATACCGCGGCGGTGCTTATGTTGACCCATTTTGCTTGGTCGACTTATGGCCTACACATGCCTTGGCTGCATGTCACCTCTCATTTCTCTTTTTTATCTATGTTAAAATCAGATCAAATCATATTTTAAAACCAAATCAAATCATATTTAAAAATATAAAAAATTAAATAACATTTTTGATACATCTTTCAAACAATTAAAAGATTATTTTATTGGTTTTCTGTTAAGTCATATACATATGAATTAATTTGTCTGTATGGATTTATCTGTCCGTATAAATTGTGAATTTTTTTGTTTGGAAGGTTTTTTTTTATCATAGATGGAATGGGCGTGTTTTTGTTCATTAAGACATGTTCGGGAAAAAAAAATTGTTTTATGCATAAAACTTCTTTAGGTTTTTACTGAATAAATCTTTTTCTATGTCATTAAGCCACTATCAAATAGTCAAGTCTAATTGACTGAATAAACTGTGAGTTACGTTAAATTTATTAAGCTGCTAACAAACATATCCTAAGTTTTACTGGTAAGACCTTAGGTTTCACTTTTTAGAAGTTATAGATTTTTCTGCTAATTAACTTTATCACCCATGAAATTGGTTGAAATGTATGTAAATTGGTCCGAGTATTAAATGTTATAAAAAATATAACTTAATTAAAATATCTTGTTGTAAATCAGTATAGAAAATTTCATAAATCATAATCAATGTATTTTCATCATAGATTTTCTGCAATAATAATTGAAATATACTTGTGACATAACTATACAATATAAAACAAAAGTAATTTATATTTTTTTATTAACCTAGATATCCATCTTGCTATTTGAGCCGATTAATTTCAGGACAACCACTTGCGTGGAGTTACCGCAGTTAGACCTCTGTAGCCACAAGGGGGTTTTTATTCCCCATTGGATTCGAACCTGAGACATTAAGACATTTTTGACATTTGGAATCAAAGTTCAAATTAATCGGATACTACCATTATGGTTAGTAATTTATAATTTTGATGTCTAAAACAAGCAACATTTTATATTTTTAAATTGTTTAAAAATATACGTTATTTTTTTACAAGCTTAATTATTTGTCTATTAACAATTATTACATAAGTGTTTCTAAAACGTAACACACTACGTTCTAAGTGGTATACATATACCTGTATAAAACGACGAGTGTTCGAGTTCAACAATTGTATTGTGAGAGCCACAATTCTTGTACAGATTGAACTACATGAAGATATCGAATTCTTATTTAACTCAGAAACAGACTTATAAATTTTTCAGATGATGACACCATTTGACAATAGAAACAAATATAAAAAAAATTATAAAATTAACGTTGGTCTTGTTGGTTAGTTTTTGCTTTTAATAAATCTGAAACTAAAAGCTAAAAACTAAGAAAATGAAACTAACAAGATTCGAACTCGACGTCTCGGAAGAAATAAAAAGTCTTGCCAACCAATTCTAACAAGGGGAACTTGTATCCTAATTATAGTTTCAAAATATACATGGTGACACTTTTCACGACCCTATAATTTTTTACGTTATGACGGAGGAAGAAAGCGTGGCCCGTC